ATTTTTCTTCATTTAACAAGAATATTATAAGATTAAAAACATTCTGCTGAATGTAAAATTATTAAAGTTTAGAATATGATATTCTGGTAAATACTAATGTTGCTAAGAACAATAAATGGACATATTGAAAGAGAATGTACAATATTAGTTGTGTATATGCTAATTATGGCATGCACATTTGCTAACAATAGCATGGACATCACCTCATCTTCCCAATTTCCTCACTCAAGGAGGAAAGTTATGCCAGTGAACACATATATAATCCATACACTTTTGTGGGAAGGAAACTTTAGAGAAACTGGAATTTCTCCAATACCAGCCAAGTGATTTTGCACCTGTGAACATTTTAATGGTGATGTCATAAAAGAGGTGGAATTAACCAATATTTTAAAAAATTATTTGAATTAAGGTTAATAGCTTATTGGCATGCGTTGTGGTTATATTAAATAAAAGTATAAACTGAAAATAATAAAATTTAAATGACAAATTTGTAGCCACTTGTTAACATTACAGCAATAAGGAACCTGTGTTGAAGGAAACATGGTGAAATAAAAAGATTTGAGGCAGCATACCAAAGCACCAATAGAGAGAGAGCAAATTGAGTTTCTTGGAAAAGGGGGTTCCTCAATCTGGTTTTACAACTGAAAACGCCCTGACTCCGTGCCCTGTTGCCTATAGAGGTTTAGCAAACCTCTATAGGCAACAAGGTGGGAAGCATCTAGTGACATTTCAGTGGATATGAAAGCACCTGCAAGAAAAGGCATTTCTTCCAGTATCCTGGTCCTGAACCATGTAGGTCTGCATACAGATAGTAGCAGTTGTGCTCAAAAATGAGCTAGCTGCTACAGTTTGACCTAGATGGTTTTTCTGAATATTTGTCTCCCCCTACCAGCCCAGTATTTGTTGTAGCAATCTAAGCTAGAAGGAGCAAGGGTTAGATCTGTGCTTTATAGGGAAGCGCATGATTGTTGTACCAGCTGAAGCTGTGTGAAAGTACTACTGGCTGCAGCCACTTCTTGATTATTCAGGAACAAAGCTAGATCCAGGAGTATCCTTACACTACAGATCTGATACTTTGGGGAATGTAGTTCTATCCAAAACAGGCTGTATCTTGAGCTCCAGCTTCTTGGTAATGACAAGCAACTCTATCATATCCAGATAAAGCTTTGGTATGTCAGTCTTCATCTGATCAATCACTGCATTTCAGCAAAGGTTCAAGACCTGCACAACCTCCCTGGTGAGATGGAAAGGAAAACTGAATTTAATTTCTGCCAATGAGCTATAAACCGCAGGCAAAACTTGAATTCAGAATAACAGAGCCCGGGAAACAAGCCTATAAAGAGCTTATGTGTTTGTTCTATAAAGTTTTTTCATGAATTATTCCAAAGATACAAGGGGAAGATTTGCCTTTTTCTGTAAAACTTATTAATTTATATGTGAGCTTTTGAATCTACAAATGTGTTATTTAAGAAAGCACCACTAAGGCATCAGGAAAGTGTATCTGAGGACACAGGCACAATTAATTACCTGCTTATGGATATTGATAATACTGTTAGGCTGAACTTATGGGGAAACTAAAAGTTTGAATACAAGAGATACAAAACAGTTAATAAAATTTAATATATTTGAAGTAGTATTCTAATTATGTCATTGGGCCAGTTGGTCAGAGCATCCAAGAGCACCTACTGAAAACTGTAATGAAACTGGGTAATAACTCTGTAGATTATCTTATTCTCTAAAACATGGTTTTTATTGAGATTTATTAAAGTTATGTGTTAAGAAGTACAATTAATACAAGGAAAAAATGAAACAGATAAAGCACAGACAATTGATATGCATATACCAGGGTGTAGGTATGTAACTGCAAGAAAACTGGTTGATGGTGTTGGAGGAAGAGCAGGATATAATATATAAATCGGTAAAACATTAATCTTTTAATGTTTAGAGTTGTGAGTGGTGAAAACTGGTGGTGAAAACTGACATGCAGCATCTATTTATTAAAAATATCTGCAAGTTGAGGGATCATAAAGCATTTGGACATGTGTGGGAATATCTCAGGAGGGCTCCTTTCTAATGTATTCCTGTTAAGGACTCAAGACAGCACCATTTTATTCCAGGTCCTAATTTGTATACCACTTGATACCATTTCCCATGGTATCATGTTAGATTGCTTTCATGTGTTGAGAGTTCGATGCACTGTTATATACTGCTTTCAACTCGTGCTTGTATGGTCTGTTCCAGACTGTACCATGGCCTTGTGGCAATTGAACTGTGGATTGCTAGAGGGTACCATCTTGTTCCAATGTTGTTTAATATCTATGTGAAGCTATTGAGAATGGTTATCTGGAGATTTGGGGTACATGGATATCAACCAGCTCTATTTCTTCGTGAGATCTGAACTAGGAGATGCTGGGCATGTTTTAACCTAGTACCTGGATGCAGTTATGGCATAGATGAAGGCTAATGAACCAAAATGGAAATGGAATTCTAATAAGACAGGGACCCTATGTGTTGGGAGTTCTCAGGAATTGGGCTGTTTGCCTGTCCTGCGTGTGTTTGCGTTCCCCCTGAAGGAGCAGGTGTGTAGTTTGAGAGTAATTCGGGATTCACATTTGTCCCTGGAGGTCCAGGTGGCCTGGAATGCCCAATATCAGCCTTTGTTGATGTGCTGTGCCAACTATACCTACTCCTGGACAGGGATAAGCTAGACTGAGTGAACAGTCATAATCAGACTGTTGTAATACATGCTTTGTGGGATTGCCCTTGGGCCTAGTTTAGAAGCTGCAACTGGTCACTGGGACACCCAGCTATGCCCATATAAGATCTGTGCTAAAAGAGCACCGCTGGCTGCCTATTAGCTACTGAGCCATTTTCAAGTTTATGGTATCGTCATACAAAGCCTTAAACTACTTAGGACCAGGATACCTATCAATCTACCTTCTCTTGGTGGTTAAGAGAGTGAACACCACGCTTGGTTGCATAGCCAGAAGTGTGGCTTTTAGATTGAGAGAGGTATTACTACCACTCTATACAACTCTGGTGTGCCCGCAACAGGCGTATTGTGCTCAGTTTTGGGCCCCTCATTACAGGAAGGATATAGCCAAGTTAGAGTCAGTGCAGTGTAGGGCTACAAGGTTGGTGGCTGGTTTACAGGAGATGCTGTATGAGGCGAGACTGAGGGAATTGGGTCTCTTCAGCCTGGAGAAGAGGAGACTCAGAGGGGATATGTTGGTGACATACAGGTATGTGAGGGGGTGTCACACGGAGATGGGTAGAGACCTGTTCTCCCCTGCAGAGGAGGGCAGGTCGCACTCCAACGGAGCAAAGCTCAGGGAGCCAAGGTTCCATTTGGATGCCAGGAAGCACTTCCTGACAGTTAGGACCCTGAGGGTGTGGAATGGGCTTCCACGGGAGGTCATTGAGGCCCCATCGGTGAGCGTGTTCAAAGATAGGCTAGACATGCACATGATGGGCATATCGTGAGCAGAGCCGGCTGGTGCCAGAGGTCAGACTAGATGGCCCAGGAGACCCCTTCTGACTTGCTCTGTTTCTTTGTTTCTTACTGATACTTTACTGACTATTTAGATCATTGGAGCAGACCTTGCTAGCCATTCCGAGATGATCAGAATGCCATCAGGGAATGTCTCACTAGGTGGTGGTGCCCTATATAACTGCCCAGAGAGTTGTCTTGACTAATGTGCAGTATAAAAATTAAATTAATAATAGTAATATGCGGGGAAACCTCCCTTGTGCTGTTCAGGCTGTAGAAAATCTGGTACGTTTCAAATGCCTCCTGAAAATGTACCTATTCATTCATGTGTTTTCTGGCATATAAATAATTTATGCTCTTTTGTGTTAGTGTTCCTGCACTGCTCTGCTTTTACAGTGTTGTAATATTTTTAAATTGTATTTTAAATATGATTTTAATATTTATATAGAAACCACTTAGGGGTTCTAAAAATATTTGGTACTATATAGATGAGATAAATTAATAAATAGTAGTGGCCAACTTAGTGATGCCATGACTACCAGTGGCACAAAGGAAAGAAGCCACCCACAGAAAGGGTAGGGACTTACATGTTCTCAGGGCAGACAGGTAAGCAGATATATATATTAGTTTGTGTATTAAAAGGATCACCCAGCCCAAAAATGCTCATTGCTTTCCTGCAGTGAAGGAGTGTTGAAACAATTTGAGTGATGGTTTGGGGATGGGAAGATAAAAGTAGGAGTGTTGCCCTATTTAGGCCTCTAACAGGACCACTTAAGAGAAGGGGAAAGGCTTTTTAAGGTTTCAATATTAAAAATGTGGTTTTAGATCTATGCACTGTTGTCTTCTGCAAGGATCTAACATAGGGATAGTTAGAGCAGTTTCTTCTTGATTTTATTATCTGGCTGTTAACATGCATTTTAGATTTCATTGCATTATTTGTATAGTATGGTCTTTATTTTGTGAACTATTCAGAGACCTCAGGCTCAGGATATTAGGTAGCATAAATGTAAGTACCTTCATGTACTAAAGTGGCTGGCAGGCAAAGATTCAGAGCAGAATGCGTAGAAACCATTCCTTCAACCTGATAGCCAAGTTTTCTGTTAGAGGGAAGCATGTGTGGTTTATAATAGAATAAAGCAATGTATTCCATTTCAGAAATAGAAAGTTCCCACAACAATTTATGTAAATGCCTTTTTAAAAATATGCCCATGCAGCCAGTATTATTCCATAATGGTTCTTGCATAGGGGTTTCTTCAGTCATTGCCACACATACAGTCCCCTTAACAATTGAGGTTGAATGCTTATTGATACTTCCAAAGTCCTAAATAAGAGCATCAACTTTCATGGCCCATTACCATATTAGAGGAGGTGGTATTCCTTCAGAAGTGGTGGTGTTACTTAATTGTTTTGGGGGGCACATTCAGTTGAAAGGGCACAGCATTTGATATAAAATAATATTCACTGTGTTGTTTGTCATACATGAAATCCATTTTTACATGCTTCAATATAGGTACAAACTGTACAGACAACATTATCTGAATCTCCAGTGATGACCAGCCCTTCCCAACGCATCCAGATCATCTCCACAGATTCATCTGTAGCTTCACCACAGCGCATTCAGGTAGAAGGGTTATTTTGTAAATGTAATTTATATTTTCTGCCTTTTCTTTGTGTGTGCTGATGTTAACATTTCTTAGATTTCTTTGCAATCATAAAGCAAATTTATTTTAGTAGATATTTTAATATATAGAAAAAAATCAGTTCTGTTTTATTGCATAGTTCTTTTTATGAGTATAGGGGCATGGAGCATATTTTTAATCCCAGAGAGCTATTTCTTACATTAGAATTGGCAGATATTGTTTCCTTATTAGTGTAAAGTATATTCCTAATATTTTGCGTATGCATCTTGTCAGATCTTCCTTGCCTTGTGTGTGCACTGGTTGGGTGGTGCATGTACTGAGAAGATTCCCTGTTGACTTGCATTCCGGGTATTAACTTGTATATTCAAAACATCTGTACATAAAAACTTTCCACTTTTACCATAGACTTTTGTACCTAAACATATCATTTATAAAGTGATCATTTATAATTCTTAGTGGTCTTCCAAATTGTGAAATCTTATATAATTATATAATATAAAATAATATTTCCATTTTTATTATAGATTGTCACAGATCAGCAAACAGGGCAGAAAATCCAAATAGTGACAGCAGTGGACTCCTCGGTATCACCCAAGCAGCAATTTATATTGGCAAGTCCAGATGGAACAGGAACAGGGAAAGTGATACTGGCTACACCTGAGTCTTCTAATGCCAAGCAACTGATCTTTACCACCACAGATAACATTGTGCCAGGCAGAATACAGGTAAACAGAGCAGCTAAAGAAGGGTGTATGGGTCAGCTGTTAAGCCAAGGAATTATTACATCGTTTAAATATTTACAATAGAAACCAAAATTCCTATTTCAGGATAAATTAAAAAGGGAGTTATTCCAGTCCCTTTTTAATTTTTCCTACAGTTGCAATGTGAGTATGTGCAAATGCATCTTTCTCCCCTCTTACTCCATTTTCTCCCTTCTGAAGATTTTTCCCCTACTGCAGAAATTAGACTATAATCATCACAGGAGCTGTGGGCCCATTTCTTTTTTCTTACGAAACTTTGTCATACGCACATGCCCTGATAGCACTCTATGAATAAGTGTCACCCTTACAAAAATGACACAGAGAAAGTCGGGCACGGCTAGGATGGCCTCTAAGTCTAATAGAGGAAATGTAACCAAGAAGGCCTTATTTAACTATGTGCTGCATGTGAAAAAGAAATCTTTTCAAATTAATATTCAAAGTTTTTAATATTTTAATAATTGAAATGGGTATTTAGGTTCTTTTTAAGAGCATGAAGGAAAGAAGTATGAAGAAGGGAGATACCAAGCAGAAAAAATCAGCAAAGAAAGAACAAAGGCTCAGAGGAGAAAAGCTGGAATTTAAGGGGGGAAATGAACAAAGGAAACAAATGAGCACATACTGAGAATAAAGGGAAAGGGGTAGAGAGGTGCAAATCTATTAGTATTTTACAAACAAAGAGAAAAATATTATATTGAATATGGCAATTAAAAACAAGCTAATGAAAAGCAGAAAAATTGCACTGGTTTGTACACATGACAACCTGCTAAGTAATTGCCTCAAGAGCATGCAGGGCACTGGCTTATTGACTGACTGGCATTGTGTGGCATCGTTGCTCAGTACAATTCTAATCAAGCTACAGTGCTCATAAGGCAGTTTAATGGGTACTGATGGACATTATCATGTGCGTGGCACATCTGTAGCCCCTCCCAACCATGGCAGGAAATTTTCTTTGTTAAAACAAGAAATCCTCCAGGGTAACTATTGTGAATTGGATTGCAATAATACATTTCTATTACAGCATTTTTGATATACAGTAAAACCTTGGATTGCGAGCATAATTTGTTCCAGAAACATGCTTGTAATCTAAAGCACTTGTATATCAAAGAGAATTTCCCCATAAGGTTCAATGTAAATAAGGTTAATCCCTTCTGTAATTTTTTTTTATCTCAAAAATTTGAAGCGGGCATGCTGGGGGGTGGAGGCAGGCACAATTGCGGGCGCACTGGGGAGAGGCGGGCATGATCACGGGTGCACTCGGGGCGAGGCAGGCACGATTGCGGGCACATTCAGGTGGGGGGAGACGATGCTGTACTCCAACCTGCAGCGAGAGAGAGAAGAATCAGCACTCAGTTGTGACGTGACGCTCAGCAGGCAAAGCGCACGTAATACTCATACTGCAAGACATTGCTCATTGTATCAAGTTAAAATTTAGAAAAACTTTTTGCTCATCTTGCAAAACACTCACAGACCGAGTTACTCACAATCCAAGGTTTTACTGAGTAAAAGCCCCATATCCACTGTTTAAATTAAGTGGAACTGCAGTTGACTGTGAAAACAAGACCTGATGTGCCAGAGCATGGCTCGTTTTGGGGGAGCTCACCCTAACCCCAACCCAGTCCCAATTCTGGTGCCCACCCCACCCTCACCAGGGGCAGTGCCCCATTCCAGGCTGACCCATAGTAGTGACCAGGAAGGGGAACATTCCCCATGTGGCTGTCTGTACCCTCTTGCTCAACGCCCCCCATGCCCATCCATGGCACAGCAGGCCAAAAAACTCCCATCATGTTCTCTGCTATCTGTGGTTCCAGGCATCTACTGGGTGGCTTGGAACCTCTCCCCCATGGATACAGGGGTCCTACTGTAGTACTGTAAGCATTCTAATGTTTCATTTCAGATTGTGACAGACTCTGCCTCTGTGGAACGTTTGTTAGCTAAAACTGATGTCCAGCGGCCACAAGTAGTAGAATATTGTGTTGTCTGTGGAGACAAAGCATCAGGTATGTTATAAGACGAGTCACCAACCGTTTTGGGCCAATGGGCTCATGTAGAATTAAGGAGTGACTACCATGGAGGACATTATCATTTGCAAAATGGCTAATGTGGTGAGCAAGGCCAATCACAAAATAATTACATTATTATTTTTACATTGCATTTATATCCCATCTATTTCCTCTCTTGTGAAAGCCAAGGCAATTTCCATAGCTCCATTTCATCCTCACAACAGCCCTGTGAGGTAGGATGGGCTGAGAGTCTGTGACCGACCCAAAATCACCCAGTGAGCTTCATGACTGAGTGGAGAGTAGAACTCAGATCTTCTGGGTCTCCAGTCCAGCACTGGTATGGCTAAAGCTGGTATTTTCAGCCTGCTGCCGTTAAGGTATTTTTCTTTCCATTATCTTTACCCTCAAAAATACCAATCCAACTGTGTTCCTGCTTTATACATTGGCAGCTGCTGTTCATGTATGTTGACCTCAACTAAACCACCCTAGATAAATGACAGTGGTTTTTCTTTCTCTCTCAGTCCTCAGCTTCCAACTGCAGTGTTTTATTTGCCCTCAGAAATCCCAGGTCAACAATCGCAGTGTAATTCTACCATCAGTACAGTTCACCCCATTCTGTCAGTTCATACTCATTTCAGCTGTCCCATTTCCTCTTCCTGCTCCCATGGGTCACTTCTGACCCTCCCACATTGCCATTCTGAAGCTTTGCTCCCTCCCTTCTCTAGTACCCCTCGTCACTCCTAGTTCTTCTTTGGGGCTCGCCATCACACATATGGACTCTGCACCTGCACAAGGCCTGTTGCAGGGAAGATTTTCCTAGCTAAACCTGTTTTGGCAGGACCCCCGCCTCTCCCTCCCTCCCTCCCTCTACTCATTTTTTAAAACCCAGCTTTTTTCCTTGCCCTTATTTAAAAACCGAAACCCCAAAAAGCCCTCCTGTCATCCTCTCTTTTTCAACAACTATTTATTTCTTCTCTTTCTCTCTTTCCCTGATGGAGCACAAGCAAAACAAAGTGTTTGCTTCTAGTTTCCTCCAGCTTTCCTTCATAAGAATGTCACTGTGTCCCTCTGGAATTCACAGGTGTCCTGGGGAATAAAGATAGACTACTAGAGGAGGACCTCTCCCAGCTACAGCCTACCCGGGCACCGTGTGCAACATTTGGGGCCTTTCTCCAAGTGCCAATTCCAAGAGAGACTCAGACAATAACAATAAGAGGGAGGGCTTTCTCTATGGAGGCTCCTCATCTATGGAATGACCTTTGCACTGAGGCCTGCCTGGTGCCAACCTTGTCATCTTTTTGGTATTAAGACAGCCTTTTATGCCAAGACTTTAAAGATGGACATTCAAGGACATGAGGGGTTACCCATTCCTGGTGGTCTTTATAGGGCTACTCTCCATTTATGTTGTTTCAGGTGTTTTGTTTTGTTTTTTTCAATGAATTTGGAAGACTTTTTAGTATTTTGTTATATACTTTTTCTGAACTGCCATGAACCTCCCAGAGCTTCAGCTATTAGGCCATATAGAAATGAAATGAATAGAGGAGAGAGTGTGTGTGTGTTTGCTCCACATTCACCTGAGAGTAGCCAACATTATGAAGGGCTGATGCCACATGTTCCTAGGTAAAGAGATACAAGACCTTTGATTGATGACAAAAATTACCTGCCCACATTTGGGTGTGCCTGACCCTGCAGCTTCACAGAAGAAAGGAAGTTAAATAAGTATGGGGAAGAGCTGTTCTGCATCCTGAACTCCATGCACATAACCAAATATTCTTTGGTCAAGTTTCCTACCCTTAGAAAATGTGTTATTTACTCTCTCTAGAGAAGGTTTTTTCAGAATTATTCTGGATATAGTCTGCTCCAACCCCTTTACAATTCTAGTATTTTGACACTCATTTTACATCACCCTAGCTCACAATAGATATACAGTTGAAATATGCATCCCTTCTTGTTTCCTGAGCTGAAGAAACCTCAGTTCATTCAGAATTGTCTGCTTTCTAAACATCTGTAAAGTTTGTACACAAGCATGAAATCTAGAATCTAGCATAGAGTTATTGTTTATATAATGTCAACTTTTATAAACTGCCCAGAGAACTTTGGTTATTAGGTGCTGTATGTACCCTCACCCTCAGTGGGTTTCAATAGTACTGTTGAAATAACCAATGCCTAAATAAGTATAGTATGGATTTTTTCGTACTATATACAAAGCCAATGATAAGGAAATATAAGAGATGCAGTCTAAAATCTGAGGAGCCAAACATTTTCCACCACTGGTTTAAAGGTCCTAAATGGCTTGGGGGGAGCATATGAAATTATTACCTTCTCTCACATGAAATCAATATTAACTTCCTCTACAGAGGCCACCTCTCAAGCCCCTTACTTGAGGCAGCATGGAATGGCCCAGGGCCTTCTCAGTTGTAACACCCTGCCTCTGGAACGTTCTCTCCAAGGAAAATCCCATAACTTCAATTCTGATGTCTATTTGGGATCATGTCCTTTAGAGTTTTACATGTTTTGTTCATTTAACCTGGAACTAGCATAACCTTGGTTGCTCTGTTTGTTGTATTTTTTCATGTGCTTTTAATTATTGCTAACTGTTCTGAGAGTCTTCATGCTGGTCAGAGAGCAATCCTATGGCTTAGACAGTATCTAGCAAGCCATAGGATACTTTAGATTCCTAGGTCCAAGGTCAAAAGCAGAACTTCAACCTCAGAACTGGGATTTTTGCTCTGATTTCCCTGCCTGCCTTGCAGCTGGTGTGGGAAAAAACTAATCTTGGCTGCCTCTACGATGTTGGAAAAGAAATCTCAGAGAGGGAAAATAAAGGGCTGAAAATGGCTGCCTAGCTGAAATGCAGAGAGGTATGGAGATCACCTCTGCTGATCCTCTCACTGTACACTGGGTGCTTGTAAGCCTCTGAGATTGGAATCAGTACTACTACATTTGATAGTGCACCCCACTACTACAGCACTGATTGGCTTAAGCACAAAACGTATCCTACTTTAATTGTAAGAGAGTGATGTAGGATAGGCAGTGCTATTATATAAATCTCTTAAAGCGTTGGCAGATATTGTGATTCAAGATTATTTTCTTCTGAAAAATCACACTAAATGACATATACCTGGAGTTCAGTGCTATTAAAAATGTGGGAAGATTGAAAAGCAAACCAAAAGAACAGTTGAACAATATGTCCTGTGTGTTACAAAAATAGTTGACAAATCCACTGTCTTTGTCATAGAACACTGTATATTCTTAGGTGATCGGTTTTTTTTTTTTTTTTTTTTTTAAGGTCGTCACTATGGTGCTGTCAGTTGTGAGGGATGCAAAGGCTTCTTTAAAAGGAGTGTGAGGAAAAATCTGACCTATAGTTGCCGTAGCAACCAGGACTGTATCATCAATAAACACCATCGGAATCGCTGCCAGTTTTGTCGGCTAAAAAAATGCCTCGAGATGGGGATGAAAATGGAATGTGAGTCTACAGTACACAAAGTGCTTATTTGTCTAATCAAGTGATAGACATGTTTAAACATTCCTGTCATTAAAATTTTTACATCATCACAAATCAAGATTTCCTTAACCTTTCATTTGCTGCACTTTAGTCTTTGGATCATTTTTACAGCAAATGTTGAAAACAGAATGGAAAATGGATCAAAGACATCATCATGTATGCTCTTACCTAAGTGCAAGTTCCTTGGAACTCAGACTTACTTCTGAGTATCCCAGTATACGATTGTATAGTAAATGGTTTAAAATGTTCATTACTACAACAAAAGAGCATTTCTGGTTGAGGTCAAAAGAGCAATCCCACCAGAGGTCATCCCTGCCCTTATCTCCAGTCTCCATGGAGTTGTCACTTGGTGCCACAAGACTTGACTCGTGCCAAAAGGAGTGACCTCTTTTCCCATTGTGGGCTGAGTAGCTTCATGTGACATTTGCTGTCCAAGGGGGATGCTGGGTGCCATGCAGACCAGAGACTCCCCTGGCAGTGGGAGGATTGACCATTCCTCCCAGTACTGTTTGTCCTTTTCTCCATGCGTCTTCTAGTATGGACAGAGACAGAGAGAAAATGGAGTGAACCAGTGATGTCAGTGGTAGTGGCCTAAGCCTCTAACGTGTCATCAGCAGGTGGGTCTGCACCCATTGATGTCATCTGGGCCATGGTGATCCTAATGAAAGATATTTGCCCCCATTTCAAATTAGTTCTACATCCCTGTCTTACCCATGTCAACTTCTAGATACTGGTTCAGAATCAAATGCTTTGATTAAATTATACTGCAAAAGAGCTTGGTGCCATCAGCATACTGATAACATTAGACTACAGGACTATGGACAATATCCCCAAATACCTATGTGCAGGTGTGAAGTAAAGTGGATGATTTAACTAAATTTTGAGCAGATCTCTAGAATGCATTTTGTAAGTTGGAACTATACTTGTCCCCCTGTGATCAGCCTATCAGGTAAAACTGGAACCTAGTACAAAGCACTTCCTTAACTTAAAAATGCACTGAAATTAATGTCCTGCTTTTAAGAATCTAAACTTTTTATAATGCATTGAATAAATGATTTGTGCTCAAATCTCTAGCTGTCCAGAGCGAAAGGAAGCCTTTTGATGTGCAGCGTGAGAAACCAACCAACTGTGCTGCTTCAACAGAAAAAATCTATATCAGAAAGGACTTAAGAAGCCCTCTAATAGCAACCCCAACCTTTGTAGCAGATAAAGATGGGACCAGGTAAGATAGGTCTTTCTCAAATAAGTGCAGTATAAAGCTCTTACAAAATCAAATGCTTAATGCACAGATCTAGAAAACAGCATTCAAAATGTAGCTAAATTGAGCAGGGCCAGTTTAAAGATAATTATTTCCTTATTCCAGTATATTATTATAACTTCCAGTGCTTTGCAACATAGCCAATATGTAGCTTTCCATAAGTTTTAGGATACTACATATATTAAACTATAATAAAATCAGTAAATGTAGCCATAATATTGTATTTATATATCAGCATAGTTTTTCATGACAATGTACAGCATGGGTCCTTGAACTACGACCCACAGGATGGATCCGGCCCACCATGGCCATCCATCCGGCCGGCGCCACCATTCACCGCCCGTGCGCGTGCTTGCTGCACGGGCAGGGAGGTGGTGGCTCACTCACTCGGAGATGGTCTCCGAGCGAGCAAACCGTCGCCGCCACCACCTTCCTCCCGTATAGGTGCACTTGCCGCTTCCTTGCAGCGCGGGCAGGGAGGTGGTGGCTTGCTCGCTTGGAGATGATTTTGGACTCGCTGGGAGATCTCTGAGCGAGCAAGCCACTGCCACACTGCCGCCTCACACGCGCCCGACTGCATCTCACTGGCCCACACCCCCAAGCACCCCCACCTCACCAGCCCGCAACAGTCACCACAGTCTTTCAGCTGGCCCCCTATTCAAAAAGTTTGAGGACCCCTGCTGTACAGCATAGTGATGTATAACAGGACATAACCTGAAAGGAATGCTATTTTGAAGCTCTGAGATTGTCAATTACATGAGACAGAGATTCATCCAGTGCAATTCATCTCTGTATTATCATGCAAAAGCATAGTACTGTATATATTACTATGCTTTGTTGATTGCCAGTTAGACATTGGATGAAGAATCTCTTTATAAAATAAAAAAGGGAAAGTTTCAGAAACCAGGCATGCTACTTAACTAAAAGGATATTATTAATATAATTTTTGGGACATTCTTGTGTGCGTACACAGAATCTGAGATTGATTTTTCTCTCACCTGAAGTTTATCTTAAACCTGTTATTGTAGAACCTATAGCTAACATGTGCATTTTCTGAATTAACATGCCAAGAAAGTAATAGAAAGGTCTACTAAATAATGGAAAGAACTACTTCATGATGAGTGGGCAAAATACAGCTAAGAGATGAGTAGCTTGGATCCAGACTGGCTCATGAACAGAAGGGCTCATTCCATTTTCATAAACGTTTATAATTCTGCAAGAGCTATGCAAGGGCATGTATGCAATTTTTATCAAGTCCCCCTGCAACCTGCTACACTCTTCCAAAGCTTCTTTCAGTCCAGATTCATGGGTTTGTCAGCTACAGGTGGGTCATAAGCTGCAGGTGGAAGGAGAATTGATGAAAATTCTGCCATTTCTGCCAGCTAGAGCAATCCTTGAATGAAAATCTGCTTAGATGATCTTTGGATCCAAGTCTGTTATGTTTACATAACATAACTGTAGGAGAATAACAAATGTTATTTTCATAGAGAAGTTGAAAGGCATCATTGAAAGACACATTGAAAGGCACAATAGTCCTGTTCTTCATTACAGAACAAAGAAGTAGTGTGGCTCTTTAATAACAGAATATTAATGCTTTTTCTCTCCTGATCTTGAACAGATCAACTGGCCTTCTTGATTCAGGGATGCTTGTGAATATTCAGCAGCCTCTAATACGAGATGATGGTACAGTGCTTCTGGCTACAGATTCTAAGGTAGCATAGCTTCGATTTCAGTTCATATTTTGTTGCTTCATCAAGATGTGTTCTTCTATGTGTAGAAACAAAGCTCTTAATGACTATTCATTACTTCCTTAGAAGCACAGTTCAGTACAACTTCAGATTGATAATGTGGCTCACTAGGAAAGACTCTAATGCTAGGGATAGTTGAAGGAAAAGGGAGAAGAAAGAAAACAAAGCAGCAGCAACAGCAGATCAACTATGAGATGGATCCATCCCATAAAGGTAGCCACAGCCTTGGGTCTAAAGGTGTTGAGTAGGTTGTCAAGGTCAGGCCATTTTGGAGGGCACTCATTCGAAGGGTCTCCATAAACTGGAGGCAACTTGATGGCATGTATCAACAATAGACAGTTTCCCAGTGAAGAAAACTTGGCTTGGCTTAATCAACTGGTTGATATGTATTTAGTTTATTTTTATTGATTTTTACTGTAGTTTTTAATGTAAGTAGATTTCAACATGTGTTAGAAAATAAGCATAGTTTTTAATATGCAGATTTACTTAAGTAAATAGTCCATGAATATTTCTGTTCTTTTCTAGGCAGAGACAAGCCAAGGTGCTTTGGGAACATTAGCAAATGTCGTAACCTCACTTGCCAGCCTCAACGAGTCACTTAATAATGGAGAAACTTCTGAAATCCAACAAGAAGACCAATCTGCGAGTGAGATCACTCGGTACGCACTTAATAGTAGAAGCATATCAGTCAGGTCTCGCAATCTATTATAATTGTTTAATTATGATGGCAATATGCCAAGCTACTGATAACAGGCATTGCTGTCATTTTGAACATCTTTCCCTTTCAGGGGTATGTAGCCCTCCAGATGTTTTGGGCTGCAACAGCCATCATCCATTGCCTTGACTATGCTGTTAGATAGATGGGAGTTGTATAACAAAACATCTCAGGAATTGCCCATCCCTGTTCTACTTCTATCTTTAACTTCTGCCATCACTGCGTATAATATTTCTTACGTTGTTTAGCTTTACAGTACATTTGGTATAAGTATAGAAAAATAAGTGCAAATTTTGTGACAGTGAAGTTTATTTTAATCCACATATTTTATTGTGAAATTTAAAGTTAATCAAGTTGGCTAGGTGTCAAACTTCTGTTGGGATTGTTCAACTGTGCAAATTAGGGGATTCTCCTACATACTTTTATGGTCTTATTTGTGGTCTTTGTCCATCACATGTACAGTCTCTATGCCTGCGTGGAACCCCTTTCAGGAAACATCTATAACTGAAGAATTTTTGAAGAAACTTACCCCCACCATCCTGGTGTCCCTAGTAGATTCCTGCCTATTTCCTCTTTTGTCTTTCAGAAATATCTTTCTCACATGTGTCCATTTTCTTCCTTTAAGACACTGACCCATCACTGCTAAGCCACTTTACTACTCACTTATATGTTTAATGCAGGGAGACAACAGAGAAGTCAGGTTGCTTACTTAGTTCTTACTCTAGTTGCTTACAGATTGCTTACTGTAGTTCTTCAAGTGGTCATCTGTGCATTCACACAACCTACCTACACATAACAGTATTGGTACCAAAGCTCTGCTCAGTTCCAAGAGTGTAGTAGGTGGTCTCAAAGAATTGAGGGAATAGATGGGAGCCTTCTCAGGACTGATACACTTGGAAAATTGGGTGGGGGGGTGTTTCCAGACATTTCTTAGCTATAGAAGTTTCCGGAATGGTGTTTTGGGCAGTCTAGGACTCCTATTTGTGAATGCTCGGTGACCACTTGAACTGCAGCTACAGGTAATCAATCTTCTTCTTCTTTATGGTCTCCATTATCTTTGTGTCTTTTGTAATAGATACAAGCAAAATCTCTAACAAAACGTTTTAGTGTGGAGTGCTCCTCTTTACAATCTCAGCCATCCTGTTTCATTAATCCCTCCTACCCATTGACTGTGCTCTGTTCTTATTAGGGTGTTTTTGGCTTTTTTCCTCCACAATTAAAGTTTTTCTCCTAAAAACATTATTTGGCAAACCTTAAGGTTTCCAGTCCTGCCAGTATCTCCTTCTTGATACTTTTCTGACTATACCACTAGTATATGTTCTTAGTAACACTTGTATATATGATATTAGTATATATTATTCCATAGGTTATCTGTAGGAAGAAGTATTGGCAGTGTTATGTGTAACCTGAAAATATATTAATAGAAATTGGATGATAAATATCTGATGGAGTTGCTTTTATTTGCAGGGCATTTGATACTTTGGCTAAGGCACTGAACACCACAGATGGTACATCAGCTCAGAATCTGGCAGATGGAATGGATCCCACAAGTGGTGGCAATATTCATGTGATCAGTAGGGATCAGTCTACACCAATTATTGAAGTTGAAGGACCCCTTCTTACAGATACTCACGTGACATTTAAGGTGTGTGTTTTCGTAACCTATTTGGGCAAATCTGTTGTGGAGTAAAAAAATCTTAACAAGCAGAATAGGCCACTCCGCTGTTCCTTTACTTCTAATGCAGTCTGTTTCTTTAGACTGTGTTATTTGATTAGAAACTTCAGTTGATGTTCAGTAATTAGATTATAAAGTATAAAGAAGGGACTAATGGTTTTCCTTCAAACCACAGTGATAGATTGAATAGATGTGATCAGACATGCTTTCTGATATGACTAATTTGCCTTGTTTGTGGATTCTGAAATGTGATTTCTGTAAGTACGTGGCCAAAGGCCAACGAACTATTGATCACATTCTCTTTTCTCAGTGTACTGTTTCATCCAAGGATTTGAGGGTTCTGTCCAAGGGCTCTGGAATCACCCTTTTCTTTCCATCTTTTACTTCAGATAATCAAGTAATCTATTCATGATAGCAAACTATGGTAGAAGAACATAGTGCATACACAAAAATACAAAATTGTTGTAACACACAAAACACATTTTGAAATACTTCCCAAGAACTGTTTCAGGAGCATAATTTTCTTTAAAACAAGTAAAATATATTATCCATATAGAATTTCTGAGCTGACCCAAAAAGAGAAGTCAAGATGATTGCAGATATGTTCATCCTGAACTCTCTTGGCTCTGTCACTAATATATTTATGATTTCTTTCTGAGCTGGTATGTGTGAATCTTAGTAGAGAATGAAATCTAAGCTAATCATCACTCTTTTAAAATGGCATATTATTTTCACCAAAATTCTCAACTACAACCCAGGAGTAATATATTTTTTAAATTTCATTTGGTCAGTGTTTATTATAATTTCAGATAGTTCTTGTATGTATGACTGTCATTGTGTCTGGAGATAGTCTTCTTTCAGAATGGCTTCATTAAAACAATTGAATTAAACTAATTACAATATTTGAATGTTTAAATAAAGACAGTTCCCAGGTTATGAAGGTCCAAGTTACGAACAACCTGTACCTATGAATGAACTGCCGTAAAGCCTCTTCATTTTAAAAAACTACTGCAGAAAATCATTACAGTAGATAGAGAGGAAGTGAAAGGGGAGAGAGGGAGGCCTCCAAAGCATGCCTTCCTACTCCGCTCCTCTGGAGGGGGAAATCTCTCCAGCATTTCCTTGCTGCAAAGAGGAAGGCACTGGTGAGTTTGGGCTGGTGCTAGAGATATTTGTAGCTTTCCACTTTCATGGGGAAAAAAATAATATTTTTCCATGGAAGTGGAAAATAATTTAAAAAATAAAAATATTTTAAAAATAATAAAAAGTGGAAAAATGATAAGAAATATTACTCTTGGGTTCCAGTACCCCTATCACCCACAAATATGGAACATGATTTGCCTTACATACAAATTTGACTTAAAGATGAATTTCCATTTTCTCAGGAACAAAACTCATTTGTAACCCAGGGACTGCCTGTAATTAACTAGGGCAAGTAAAAAAGTGTATGGTTCATGGTTTCTTGGCAAAAGATCTTGTATCCAAGGTTCATCTATTAATGATTTTCAGAAGAATGTATTAAAAGTGTGATTTATTCTTGTACGATTTTTCTCTTCCAGTTAACAATGCCTAGTCCAATGCCAGAATACCTAAATGTGCATTATATTTGTGAGTCAGCATCCCGGTTACTTTTCCTTTCCATGCACTGGGCTAGATCTATTCCTGCTTTTCAAGCACTAGGGTAAGGATACAGTTTTGCTTTCACTTTTTTTACTGAATGAATTAATGAAATCCTCTAAATCTGTATATTTGTCACAGATGTGTAATTGTTTCATTTGTTAATGAATTAATGACAAAATAACAGCTTTTTAAATTGTAAAAGCAAGATGGAGGCAATTGTTTTTTATGTATGCCTTTAGAAAGCATATATGCTGCTATATAGCTCTGGGAAACTCTCCAAGCAGCTTCCAAAAGACAGAAATAACAATATGTCCATATGATAGGATTATTCAGGCAGCAGATCTTTGGTCTTTCCTGGTGTTCCCTTCTTGTCAGTATCTACCAGATTTAAAAACTGCGGAAGCAAGGGAGTGGGACTGAGCAGTTGAAACTTACTCAAACCATGATGGAAGTAAGTTTTCTCTTGCTGGCAGTTTTCAGGCAGTATCTCCCACTGAAGATTTCTGAAGCAAAGGAGTGCAGCCAAGCTTAGTCTGTTGCCAATGGAGGTCAGTCTTCCATTGGCAATTACCTGGCAACACTTCCCAATAAGGTCCTTTATTCCAGGTTATAACTACAGTCCCATTTTAAGGATGTTTTTCTTCCACTTGCTGCGTGCGTGTGTGTGTGTGCACATGATGCACAAGTGTTACATCTCTAATGGCTTTTGTAGGTTTGATATGCTTTATTCTTTGTTGTCTCACTCCCACATGGCCCCATAGATTTTTGTTACAGTCTAACAAGGCGAGTGACTGACAAAGCAGAGGAAAGCCAAAAAAGGCAATAATCAGCACATTTTTTGGCTTTCTTCTGCTTTGGCAGTCACTAACCCTAACCCTAACCTGGCCGTCCTTCCTGTTGCAATTCATCCCCTTATTTTCAGTCCAAACAACACAGACCGATCTTTGCATGTAATAGCACAGGAAATGAACTTACCTACAACGGAATCCCAATGCAGAGGCCAGAAAATGAATTGTAATAATTTCCATTGATCTTATGTCTCATGACCTTTTCTTTTATAATTGCAGGCAGGACTGTAATACAAGCCTTGTACGTGCCTGCTGGAATGAACTGTTTACATTAGGCCTTGCACAGTGTGCACAGGTGATGAGCTTGTCAACTATCCTGGCAGCTATTGTCAATCACCTGCAGAACAGCATACAGGAAGGTTTGCGTGATTTAATACTCTTTTTCTAATGACTGAAGTTTAATCAATAGAATTTAATTCCAGTTGCATGAGAGTAGAAAAATCCAGGTTGTTAAAAGGGTCTGTAAGGCTAGGGTACATTTTTACTGGGGTTTTTTTTTTCAGGACATGTTAGCCCTGTTCACATGTAACTCACATGTGGGGTATTACTACGGTCAAGCATGACCAAGCCTGCATTTCAAGCCCAGCTCCCAGTGCTACTGCTGCTTCCAGCACCTGCGTGGTGAGTGCAGCAGGGCTCCACATAATGGAGCATCTGGACTCATGCGTTGGGGTTCCTTTGTAGACAAGTGCACTCAGTGCAGGAATGTTGGAAGAAGAAAGCATGATGTGAGGTTTCAGTCTACAGTCACATTTCCCATTCTGCTTCATCGTGCGAATACCCTACACATGAGTAACATGTGCCTAGAATTACTGTTTCATGAGCAATAAGACAAACAGGAAGAATTCTACATACATTAATTCTTCCTTCTTAGAGGGTGGAGGTTTCTAGTAAAATATCTTTACTAGATATTTATCTGGTTTAGAAGGCATCTGTTTCTGTGGGTCAAGCTTACTTCCTTCCCTTGTCTTTCTAATATTTGCAAATGCAGTATCCATGCCCCTGAAGCCACAATTTCAAGGTCTCCACACATGCGGAACTATATTTAGCAGCTACCTTGTGATCAATGTGGGAACCTTGCCCACTGAGCAAGTAGAAAAAATAGATGAAACTCTATTATTTTTGCTTCCTGTTGTAAATTTACACCTAAAACATTTTCTGACTTTCTGACCATCTTGTGGGGAAGCTACAATAAAAGAATTTTTCAATAGGCATATTCACATCTCACACTAACACATCCTGCAAATAATCAACAGAATACCCAGCAGATGATCCCCTTCTGCTTTGCCATGATTTTCCAACTGCTGTACTAGAGGATTTGACAGCCCATTTTCACATATTGCAGCTTTCTCCTCCTCCTGTTCTCTTTTTTCCAGAAATCACCTTTCATGATCTTCAAGTTAATAGCCAGCGACAGCCCCACCAAAATGCCCAGTTCCCACTCTGGAGTGGCTCTCATTTGTTTGCCAACCTTTTTATTATTATTTTTTAAGTGCAAAAACTTTGTGCAATTTAGGGAGGAGTTTATTCTTGAAGGGGGTTAATTTTTTAGTTGGACTTATGCAAACATGGAGGTGCATACTTGTAGGGGTTCAGAATGGGAAACCTCTCTTGGACAATGTTCTGGGAGGTGTCTTCTGTCAAGGACAGCAGACACCAACCATGGGCATTGACTCAAAGTCAGCAAATAGGTTCATTTTTTTTTTTTTTTGCCCATTCTTAATAGTAAAAGGCAAGTGATTTTACCTTGCAAAAGACTGGCTAGTATATCATCTTTTTCTTGTTGAGATCCTCTAGTTTTTGGAATCAAACAGGCTATACTATGTTTTTTCACTTTTTCACTGCTTTCCCAAGACTCTAGGTGTTTAGGAAGACAAGAAGTAGAAACTATTCCCTTTTCCAAGAAGATGGATTTTTGACAATGAGCTGTGAAAACTCAGATTTATATGTAAAATGTGGATTTTGACAGGGAAAAATAAGGCCAGATGAGACTTCATATTTCAGATGCAACAGAAGTGTTTACATCTGTACTTTCGCAAGTCCAGATAAATAAAATAAAAATATTGAGGAAACTTTTTTGTCTTTTTGAGGTACACTTTTAAAAAGAGGGCTGTTCAACCAGTAACAGCCTCTCCTTGCTTACCACTTTAGGTTACTCATGATGGGATTGGTTGTTTGGATTTGGACAACATGAGAAACCAGTGGGTATAAGAAATGCTGGAATATCCCATGTGGTTCTCAGGATGGCCTGTTAGGGAGAGAGGTAAGCAGGCTACTGTAGGTGAAGTGGCCTGTGTTTGAACAACACAACAACCCATGGCTAGTTACCAGCAATGGGTCAATGATTTTTTATTTTTAAAAGTTCTTAAGTAGACATTTTTAAGAGAACAGTGAAATATATGGAAAAGGCTATGGCTTAAATCCAAAGATGTCTTGCATGAGTGGGAGGCATCTGCTGGTACCAGGCAGCGCCACCAAATTTTCTGTTTTTGCATCATGCTGCAGCCTCCCATGCTTTATTATATACTGTTCACTTGGTTCATGCAGGAGTAGCTTTTAGGCAGGTCCAGAGGGTTGCACTCGTGAGGCAGAAGACCCGTTTTGAAGTGGAGTTCCACTTATCTCTGGAGTCAGTTTTGTTTGTAGACACTAGCTGTAGCTTCTTTACATGGGAATAAGCACTTGTCTGTAAACATCTGCTATTTGTCAGATAATTAATAGGCACTTAACTATCCTAGAAGTAACTGTGCCTAAGAAATACAAACTTGTGCAAGCTGCTTTACAAAAGGGAAAGGACAACAATTTCCTGTTAGGAAAATAACTTGCTTGATGTGGAGATTCTGCACTAAACGGTAGTCCCATGGCCAGTATAAAGTAGTCATTGTTTGATAATGAACATAGAATATTTTTCTGCAATTCTATATCTTCTTGCTTTTACCTACAGAGTAAATAGTAACCTGTCAGTCACACATGGCAGAAATATTTGCACAGTTACAGTGCAAAAACTGTATGCTAGAGCAATAATGCTGCTATTAAATTATAGGCACATTTATTGACAGCATATCTTTTTAGAATGGTTTAGTATCTTTTTAGTATGATTTGGGTTATTTTATTGTGCTTGTTTTGGGTGTCGAAAAGTAAAATTAGTTACCATCATTTACTAATTTAATTTGTTAAATCCTTTTAAACTTAATTATAATAGGCAGTTTCCGCCCCCAAGCATGGCCCTCAATAACAACAGAACTGATGTAGTTCTTCTGGGCAAGGAAAGAGGCAGGATATTCAGAGGCCATGGAGAGGTAGGTGCCCTGCATTTAATTAAGTGTAGGGCTGTAAGATTTTCCAGCAACCTAGGCTGGAGGGGGTTTAAGACAGATTTTTGGAAGCAATAGACAAAGTGGACTTACGGGCCTTACAGCAGCTAAGGATCACTGTAGACAGAGAGGCTGTTGCAACTGTTATGATTGTGTAGCACGATGTTTTTATTGAATCTAGCTCTTTGTGGTCAGGGATAGGGTAAAATAATTGATATTGTTTCCTATCCCACGTTTTGGAGCTGGGGTGGGGGCTGTAAGTCATATTAAAGGAGCAGAGCTAGTATTACTATTTCCAGTTCAAGATACATGAATGTTCTGATTCGTGAAGGATCAGATTTTTATAATATGGTGTCAGAACATATCTAAAAGTATATAATATTAATAGCAAGATATTTATATATTTTAGATTCCACAATGTACATAAAGTTCTTAAAGGAGAAGGGGGTGATAAGATCTTGAACAGAAACCTTTATTGTGATTATTTTTTTCACAAATAGTATCTATGCTATTTTATGTTGCACTCATACGCATAGAAGCAAATGCCATAGAGTGAAGAAAACTAAGAAATGTTTGCTTCATACTGAGTATAAATCCTTCTATGAACATCTGCACTTTAAACTCCCTAAAATGTTAACTGTCCACTGAAAGACCAACAGCCAAATGCTCTTGTGTATCTGAAAAATTAATACGCAGATTGTTGTTTCTTCCATCACTTATTTAAAAAAATGGAAATGAAAGTAGTGTTGTGGAGTGGAAACAATTTTGAGCTGATTGGTAGGTTTGCACAATATGTGATTGCAGTCTGTGAATAGGTTGGTTATTTGCAGAACAATCCATAGTGTGCTGAACAGACAACCTGCCTCATTGAAGGTTGTTTCCGCCTTCCTTCCCCCATAGTCCTCCAGCTATTATCCCAGTGTCTGTCACAGAAGAACCCATCTTGGCCCTCCCACTCCAATCACTATCCCTTTTCTTTCACCACCTTTTAAATTTTATTTTTCAGAGCCTCAAAAAAGAAGCAGTTGAATGTCTTTTAAATCATTATTTTCAGTCCCGGAAAAATGTCTTCCCAATTTTTTCTGTCCTTACACTTACCGCTGCTCAGTATTTGTATTCCTGCCAGTCAACATTCTTTTAAGTTTCAGCTATCAGAGGAAGAAAAGTCTAGTTGTTGACAAATTGACAAGGCAAGATTGTCTGTAGCTTTAATTTGTGCATGGCTGCAGAGCTGAGCTGTCAATTGAAAATCACTAACAAAGGGGAAAAGTAGGAGAACTAATACCTAAGCTCACGAAGGTATCAACCAGGCAAGACTGCATTTATCAGACTGTTGTAAGTGTGCACCTCTAGAAAAACTGGCAAAGATTATTTTACAAAAAATTGTGAAGACATTTGTACATACTTCTGCAGCTGAGAAAGTAGGTGCAAACCACTGACAGTTGCTCCAAAGTGGCTCCTGGGCATTGGTAGAGAAATTTTATTGTTACTGCCACAGACAAGATTTCAAAGAACAGCAAGGAGTTTTTGCTGGTGGTGCAATTCACACAACCTATGGCAGAATCAGTTTCCTAGCTTTGGACAAAATGGCAGCCCCCAGTGGGTTGAACAATAGAACAAGACATGGTTGTCAGTATGGCTTGCTAGCCCCAAATAAGCCACCTTGTGGGAAGCCGTCTAGGTTCAGACAACACAATAATCTGTTGTGACTGTTATTCATGATGGGTTGCTGTGCTGTGTATACCCAGTCATTGTCATCCACTGTGCTTTCTCCTTTACACAATTTGCATTAATGTCAGCAGTTAGAACCATATTCTTGGCTTTACCTTGTATATTACTCCATGATTTTTAATACTGTCTGCATTTTAACTAACTGGCAAAGGGTAAGTTTCTAGTTTATTCCATGTTCAGTGGAATAGCTGAAACACTCAGTTAATACTGCAGCAGAAAGGAGTGGGTAAAGTGCTGGTTCTAGTCTGAGAAATCAAGGGTTACTTCGCACTTGTTTGAGGACTACTTAAATATAATGGAATTAGTTTTGTTTAGGAAAAAGAACAATTCCTTATAGATTAAACAAGGTGTATATTTCTGAACATGGATATACAAGTGAAAATATCAGTCATCATTATATTAGCCCTTGTCTTTCCAGTAGCTAGACAATGTAAGATTATTTTTAGTAGTTCATTTAGAAACATAGAAACAATGAGTCAGAAGGGGCCTCCCCAGCTAGACCCCTGGCTCCAGCCACCTCATTCCATACCCTTGGGGTCCTAACTGTCAGGAAGTACTTTCTGCATCCACCTTGAACCTTGGTTCCCTGAGCTTGGCTCCACTGGAACGCGTCCTGCCCCACTTGCAGGGGAGAACAGGTCTCTACCCACCTCAATGTGACTCCACCTCACATACCTATGTCACCAACAGATCCCTTTGAAGTCTCCTCTTCTCCATGCTGAAAAGACCCAGTTCCCTCAGTCTCACTTCATACGGCTTTCCCTGCAATACCACCACCATCCTTGTGGTCCTACGTTGCACTGACTCTGACCTGGCTATATCCTTCCTGTAATGTGCAGCCCAGAACTGAACACAATTCTCCAGTTGCAGGCACACAAGAGTCATATAGAGTGGTAGCGATACCTCTCTTGATCTAGATATAGGTCATCACTCAAAGCCATCTGTCATTAACTGTATCTGGAAGCCGTTACTTTACACATGAAAACTCACTGGGTAATCAGGCATTTTGGAATGGATCTGTTAACCACCAGCACTTTAACACACAATTCCCTGAGAAACTACATGAGTTTGAATGCTGAAGCAAGCTAGATATTTGGCTGACTTTCAAATAAATCTGTGTTCTCTTAAGATGATGTGTAATGTCTACTTGTAGATAAACTTTCTGGAGACCGAATAAAACAAGTGATGGAACACATCTGGAAACTTCAGGAGTTCTGCAACAGCATGGCTAAACTTGATATTGATGGATATGAATATGCTTACCTTAAAGCGATAGTTCTCTTTAGTCCTGGTAAGGAGTTTGTTAATTATTTCAGTACCCTTCCTTATTGTAGTATTAAATACTACTTAGATGTTGAACTTACAAGATGCTAATATTCTGATGAAGAATAATACTACAGAATAGGCTGTAAGAAGGCACTTTGTGACATATTTCTCTTAGTAATACAGTGATATTTTTGTGCAGCCTCTTGATTTCAGTGGGATTCACTTTTATGTGTCCCAGGATGAAAATATTAACTGCACATGTTTTCAGTCCCCTACTTGACTATTCTTTTTCATCCATCCTCATGTAAAATAATTCCAACAGCATGAAATTCAGTAAGCTAGACTCCTGAGGTTTATAATCTACCAGGGCTTTTCCACAGTTTGCATAGCTCTCTGCCCTAAGCCAGCTATCCCAGAGGGAAAGCCTCAGTAGGGTGGATATGGCATGGAAGCTCGTACATTATCTGTCCTTGTGCTAGAGGAATTTCATGGATGACACAGTAATCATACCGGATGCTTTTCAGTTCCTCTGTTTTATGGAGCATTTGCGGTTTAGGGGAAAGCTCTGCTTGAAGTGTTGTCATTGTTTTGTGTTGGATTTCAAATAAAGAATAGTTAACAGACTATATCTGGTAGTTTTTTAAATGGCTGAAAAGACTCTTTTGTTAACATTTTTTTATTAAGACAATCACCCCCCAAACGTGGAAAAAGCTAAAGTCTACTACTGAAAGTCTACTACTCTGTGGATCTACTTTCCAATAAACACTGAGAAAACCAAAGGTAAACAGGATTTTCCCAGCGCCTGTAACTGGTTGACAAGGATAGTGGATTATTAAAAGCAGATACGGCTTAGGATACAGATGGCAGTTGTCTGCAAGACAGTTTAAATCCCTCTCCTTCAGGAAGCCTGAGATGAAGATTCTGCCAATGAGATACATATATATGAAATTATGATTCAGCAGGGAAAATTATAAATGTTTCTGCAACACTTGACAGATAGGCATGCATAGCCTCTGTGCCACAGCTTAGTTAAGTAATTCCATAAAGGATGTGCTTCATTCAAGAGAATAAGAAGAAGCTATTTTTTATTGTGGAACTACAAGACATTTGGTGGCTCAGAAACAACAATTGTACAGTGCAATTTAAAGCATCATGCAGTGGTGGCTGTTTGTTTATTTATTTAAAACATTTTTATACCGCCCCCATCGCAACGAATGCTTGGGGTGGCTCACAACAGAAACAAAATACATAAATACATAAATAATAACAATAAAAAATTATTTTAAAACCCCTGGTGCATCTCGGCTAAAAATTTAAAATCCTATAAATACAAATAATTTAACAATTAAAATAAGTTTTAAATAAAAAGGTCTTAGCCTGGCGCCGAAAAACAAATAACGATGGCACCAGGCGGACCTCTCTGGGGAGCGCATTCCATAGATGGGCTGCCACCACAGAGAAAGCCCTCCTCCGGGTACTCACCTTCCTAATATTCACAGAGGGTTGCCGGAGAAGAGGATCTGTTGCTGATCTCAAGGGGCGGGAGGGCATATATGGACACAGGCGTTCCTTTCGATATCCAGGTCCCAAGCCATTTAGGGCTTTATAGGTCATAACCAACACCTTGAATTGGGCCTGGACTTCAATCGGGAGCCAGTGGAGCTGATGGAGAACTGGGGTTATATGAGAACAACGCCCAGTCCCCGTCAGCACCCTGGCAGCTCTATTCTGCACCAAACTGAAGTATCCGGACCATCTTCAAGGGTAGCCCCATGTAGAGCGCATTACAGAAATCTAACCGGGAAGTCACCAACGCATGTGTCACTGTCGCCAGGCAGTCGTTCTCCAGGAAGGGACGCAGCCGAAGCTGAAGGAAGGCACTCCTCGCCACCACCGTCACCTGAGCTTCTAGAGACAGCTCAGGGTCGAGGAACACTCCTAAGCTGTGAACCCTGTCCCTCAGAGGGAGTGCAACCCCATTTAGGACAAGGCCCAAGTTCCCCATCCCAAGGCCCAAGCCACCCACCAACAGGACCTCCATCTTGTCTGGATTGAGCTTCAGTTTATTGGCCCTTATCCAGCCCATTACCTCGGCCAGGCACCAGTTCAGCACAGCCACTGCCTCACCTGGATTGGTGGAAAACGAGAGGTAGAGCTGGGTATAATCAGTGTACTGATGAGTCCGCAGCCCACACCTCCCAATGACCTCCCAGTGGTTTCATGTAGATGTTAAATAGTAAAGGGGACAAAATGGACCCCTGCGGAACTCCATGGCATAACTGCCATGGCGCAGAGCCATAGTCCCCCAGCACCACCTTCTGAAATCGGCCGTTGAGATAGGAGCGAAACCACCGCCACGCGGTGCCTCCAACTCCCAATCCCACTAGCCTATTCAGAAGGATACCATGGTCGATGGTATCGAAAGCCACTGAGAGGTCCAGGAGGACCAACAGGGACGCACTCCCCCGTCTCTCTCCCTGCACAGGTCATCGTACAGGGCGACCAAGGCAAATGCAGTGTCATACCCGGGTCTAAAGCCGGACTGAAATGGGTCCAGATAATCAGTTTCATCCAAGAGTGCTTGAAGTTGTCCAACCACCACCCGCTCTAGCACCTTGCCCAGGAACGGGATGTTGGCCACCGGTCTATAATTGGCGGCCACCTCTGGATCCAGGGATGCCTTCTTTAGGACTGACTGGACTACCGCCTCCTTTAAAGGGGCAGGTACCCGGCCATCTCTTAAAGAAGCGTTGACCACCTGCAGGATTTGTGATGGTGGATGAGATTAGGAAACCATAAAACAATATGATTGAGGAAATATCTCTTCCACTATAAACACAACTTTTTAAAGTTATAAGTTAGTTACATACTGTTTTGGTACAAAACATATTTCGAACCTTAATTAACAAATTGCAACCTTGGGCCATTTGTTCTTCCAAACAGATAAGTAGCTTCTGTCATCCCCAATGCAATGTTTTTTCTTCCAATGGGTGTGTGTGGTGTGGGGGTGTCTGAGGAGACCCTGGTCCAGTGGCTATAGAATGCTTCTAGACTAGACCTGCTCAAGGGGAATACTGTTTGGGGAGTGGGAGATAAATGTAGTACACATTTTCTTCATCCTTGCCCTATTTGCTCTCTTGTCCCCCCCCCCCCCCCCCCCCCCCCCCCGGATAAACAAAATCGGGAGGAAGGACAGCAAAACAGTTTCTAAGCATGCCTGTCAAATATTTGGTCGTCATTTTCCTGATCATGGAGATGGATATTATTAATGTCTTAATTTTACCCATCTCTTCTATGTTTATCTATTGAAGAATTTGTAGAATTTTTAATGAAAATAATACAGGTACAGAAAATGCATAAGTGGGATTTAAAGGAAAAAGGTAGGGTGTAACTATAATAAATGAACGAGGTAAAATAAATAAGGAGAACATTTTTTTACAATAAATTGTTTTCTTGTGTTGAATAGTTTGCCTTATTGGCATTTGGCATAATGCATAATAATAATAAAATGGGAGCAAAAACACACATTACAAAACAATCAGAAAATGACATGATAAAGCATTAAAAGCTCAGAGGAACAATCTGTCTAAAGATAAGGAAGAGGGACCTAGTTTGAACTCATTAGAGAGTGAAGGCAAGGATCCCAGCTATGGGATTTCTTATTTTTAGCCATTTATAAGCTTCAGGGTTTCCCGTGTTGATCCTTTTCCACTACCTTCTATTCTCTTGGTATAGTTTAAAGACGCCTAACAGTTTGGTATAAGGGACTTAGGCATGAGAAATAGTGACCTTGTTGATCACCCAACAGGCTCATCTCAGCTTCATTTACCCATCACACTGTACTGGATGACATTTTTGCATGGCATCTGCAGGTGCTTGGCTTGCCATAAATTGTTAAGTAAACGGAAGTGGCAGGCTTGTTTGAGAGTTAGACACTCCTCAGATAGCCCATGGCTTCCTTAACAATTATCTGAAGGTTGTTTAACCTCTGTCATGTGGGTTCACATGGTATAAAAAACCATGAAAACTGGATGTCAAAGGGCACCATGTGTCCTAACAGCCCACACATCCAAATTTTGCCATGATGGACTGTTGTGATGTGTCAACGGGCCTGTATGAACCATTAAACCTAAAAGTTAAAGAGACATTTTGCACATAAGGGATTAGAGTATTTAGGACAAGGATGCTTAAAATGTACTTACATATTCTTGTTTACGATAGTTAATAAGAGAGTCTTCCCCATTAATAACCGCTCAATAGCTCTTCTCCCAGACTGGGGTTTTTGTTTTGTTTTGTTTTTCAGTCTCATAACCAGCAGTGCAGCAGCCTTCTGCCATCAGCCCCTTCAGTTGTCTCTGGCTTCTGGGATGCTGTTACTGCATGAGAAATCTTGTTGAAGCTCCTTGTGGTCAGACCTCTCAGTGAATCTTCTTTTTGCTGGGCTCTGCTGTCTCCTTGAAGCATCAGCAGTCTTTGGCCTCTTGCTCTCCAGAGCCACCAACTCCAAATACTAAGTCTCCAGAAGATTTCTGAGATGGGCTTTCCCTTTTCCCAGGTCCAAGTATAGCTTCCTTCTGCTAACTGTCAGTAACACTGACTTTCTGACATCTACTCTTCAACTGACTTTTAATAGATAGCTCCCTCCTTTTTTAATGCTCAGGGCCAGTCATATTCCCTACACACACCCCAATTGCCAATCATCTTTGTTGATCCACCTCACCAATAAAACCACAGGTAACTTCTTTATCTAAACATTTTAAACTGCTTTAAAGCCTCCCTCCCATAATCCACCATAACCAAGACAACCACAAATGTTTAGGGCTTCATACTTGGCAACAAAATTAGACTTTTGGCCTACTTGCATACATTGCAATCACACAGAGGTTGCACAAAGAGTTAAATATAACACAACATAAGCAAATATTTATATACATACAAGGAGGAATTTCCACAAATGGGATGCTGCTGCAGTGAAGGCCATAACAAGTAGCCTTCAACCGAAGCAATCTTAGTTGTGTAATGTGTAACAGGGCCTTCAGTGACTATCACAAAATACAACCAGGTTGATAAGGAAGGAGACAGTCTTTCAAACTTGTTGTGTTAGAATCTCCTCCCCCCCTTTTAAATAAATAATCACTGAGTGTGATTGTATGCTCCTTGGATAAGTACTATGTAAAAGTTCAATAATGAACAGAGGAAACATTTTTAATAAACGGGGCCCTAGGACTAATGAATGTTCTTTTGTGTTAGTATTTTGGTATTGTACAATATATCTAAATGTCTTTAGAAAGCCAATTTTCTTTTTGGTTTGTTTTTTTCTGAAGGCTATTTTATAGCCCACTTTTCTGATCATGATTAAAAAGTGTGACCATTAGCCTGGAAACCAGATTTGGTTTTGATAATGGTTAGTAATAGTAACAGTCTTTTTTAAAAATGGAAAGTGTGACTTCTTACTAAATCCAGCTAATAATTTTGTATTGGTTAAGAAGCACAATTACCTTGTTAAATAGTGCAATTGACTACAGCAGTTAATCATGTTATTCGAGTGGAATCCAATGCTGCGGATTCACTAGTGAAATTGACCACTGATTCTTCATTATGCAAGTTCCAGTGACCTGTCCCTTTGAAGAAATAAATGTTCCCATTCATCAGTTCACCTGAGAAGCTCTAAATTGCCGTTCTGCAAGTGGTAGAAGCTACTTTGCCTATGTCTTCTGTCATATACAACATGTACAGCAGTAAATGTATTAGAAAAATACACATTATGGCAATTATATAATAGAGTCAGTAGGTCATAAACTAAAAATCCTAAAACAACAGGTGTCATAAATCAATAAACAAAGAAGTTTTCAGCATGTGCCTAAACTGAAAGGAACTGGCATGCATTTTAATTCTACAGGAAAAGGATTCCAGATGGTGAATAACATCACAGAGTAAATTAATGATGCCTATCATTTAGTGTTTTGTAATGAGCATCTAAGTGTTAGGATATTCTTTACACCTAAATACTCTTCATAAGCTGTAAGTTACACAAACCTTTGAATGAGATTTTGAAAAGAAGAAAGCAAGAAAAAGCTTGTGGTACCTTAGGCTGCAGTCCTACATACACTTACCTTCAAGAAAGTGGGTTAAATGGGGATTACTTCTGAGCAGGTGTGTGTAAAATTATACTATTAAAGACAAATATTTATTATGCCTTTATTTATTTGGTGCATTAGCGCCTGTGTTTTCAGTTGCATGAAGAGTTGTCCTTGGTTGGGAAATGTATGTGATTATATACATGAATACATATGTATGTACATACATACATTAATCTAAAATGCGCTCGTGCATATAGTGCAGAAAATTGTAAAAAGTGCTGATAAATGGCAATGAAATGCGAAATGTACATTCTATTGACACTTTTGTATAAAGCTTATAACCACAGTGGACTTTCACATCAGCAGTAATGGATGGTTGCAGTCATTGTAGCTTTGCTAAATTAACTAACATCTATAACAGGATAGGAAACTGTTATATTTATTATTGCCCAAATGGATAGAATCAAACTTATCAATAAAGTTCTATTCCAGAGATTTCACAGTGAATTCTCCCACTGAAATTTCTTGGTTTAGAAAATGGCAACTTAGAGATCATCAGTGGTAGGTCCTGAGAAACTGAAATGAAATGATCTCCCACTTATTTGAAATGTTGTCATTTCTGATGTCAGATTTGTGACCATGTATGCTTTAGCATACAGACTAGAGACTAATCTGTTTGTCCTATATAGAAAACAGGATATTGCTATCAGATGATAGCTTATATCACTTCTGGACTTTTTAAAATAGAAATTACTAATAAAAAACTATGCCATATTCTTCAGTACAGATAAATGCACAGTGGAATGTTTTCTGTTTTCCTTAGATCATCCTGGACTGACAAGTTCTAGCCAAATAGAAAAATTCCAGGAGAAAGCTCAGATGGAATTGCAAGACTATGTTCAAAAAACATATCCAGAAGATACTTACAGGTATTTAACTTTTTGGTCTGTCTTGCTTGTGGGGTTTTTTGCTGAGATTTACAAACAACACTGCAAATACATAATATTAAAACAGTGGGTACATCAGCCAAGGACACTTTCTGGTCCTGTTAGTGTCAGTGGGAGAGCTTAGCCTACAGTCCAAGAAATAAGCCCAGTTGCTTCCTAGTTGACAGATACATGATTGTTCTGTTTTCAACCTTTCTTATGCTATATTTTTTACTATTAGTTTAATACTATTATTTAGTTCAGTATCACCCAATTGCTGAAACATCCTGCAGGGTTCCCCAAAATATATCACAAAATTGTACCACAATAAAGTATCATAAAACCATAATATAAAATCTCTAACACACAACATTTTAAGCACTAAAACAGCTAAAAACCAGTTAAAACACTGAACCTGATCAAAACAACTGATACAAAAACCATATCATATGCCTGGGAATAGAGGGCAGCTTAACCTAGCACTGAGAAGATGACAGTGTTAGCACCAGTTGAACTTCATTGTTGAGAGCATTCCATAAATTGGCTCCTTGTTCTGAAAAAAATGATGAGGGAAGATGCATTGAGCCTAATGGGGGAACACTGCGCCCGGGACAGTCACTTCACCATGCTGCTTCACCATGGGCATTTTCAGTGGCAGCGGCCTGGGCAAATTCAGCAAGAGCAGCAAGGGATTTTGCTGCTTTTGCCAAGTAGTTTGTTCATTGCACCCTGGCAACCCATGATAGGGTAAATTGCCCAGGTTCAGCCAACCTAGCAACACAGTATGGACTCTGCAACCTAAGAGGAGGCCATGGTTTGTTGTGGTGGATTGTAGCCCTCAAACTAGTTCCCATGCAAGAAGTGACCCAGGTCCTGTCTAGCACCCTGTGTGTTCTTAGAGACACTTGTTATGTCACAGTTCTTAGCACTTTTGCCTTACTTAGATTCCAGTAATAAGACAGATTCCAGTCCTCTTCACCTTTACCTAGGAGTAAGTCCCACTGACCTTAGTGGAATTTACTTCTGAGTAGACAAGAACAGACTTGACCTGTAGCTGTCTAAGAGGAAAGAGGAATAACTGGTGAAATAAAAATTAGAACAAAATAAGCGCTTGGGATGTAGAATGAGGCAACTGCATTTACTGGTGGATGGTTCTGTTGGCCTCTCTTAGACAGAAGATGGCTGGTCTGAGCTGCATTCCAAAAGACAGCTCATAGGGCAGCATGGGTTGTCTAGTAGGTGGAGATTCAATGCTACTTGTTTATTAGCTCCCTCAGCAAAAACACCCACCCCACCCTTGGAGAAGGGAAGTTGATCGTAGTTGCTCATTCTGTTCTTTGGTCCCTGGCAAGAGTGAATCTTCTGTTGGCTGTGTACCCTTCTTTGTGGCCTCTGTGCCTTCATGGGGCTTGTTATTGGACAGAGAGATTCCCTAGCTAGACATTTTTGGTGGGAGCCACACCCCTTCCCTGAGTGCTGCATAAAGGCAGGGCTTCTGCCATTTTCTCCACTTCATTTTCAGCTGCTGCCTTGGGTGCCTCAGATTCATTCACTCCCTAGGTCTCTTCATGATTTAAACCTCTTTTTTTCCTTCAACTCTATTTCAGCATCTTTATCTTCCCATTTCAGCATATTTCTATTCCTATTCTAAATCATATCTAAGATGTTTTTTTTTAAAAAAACTGTCTGTATACTTTACCTCAGAACTTTCTTGTTATGTGCCTTTAACAGTTATTCTACCCCTTCTCCCCACATCCTATTTCATTCACCAATGGCATTCATGGCAGTGTTCAGAAAATGTGTTCACTGCAGCACTAAAATGCCTTCAATGGACAGACATTCACTCTGACTTCTATGCCTAGGCAAAGATCATAGGGTAGATACCTGCCCTTGCTGCCAGGCTATGATGAAACAGGCAAGGAACAATAGGGCAGGACAGCTGTGCCATGAAATGTGGACTAGAGCCCTGCAGGATACGGTCATGTCCACTCTGTCTACTTCACAGACCGCTCGCCCTCCATCAGCAGCTGCTGGTGCTCCACCACCTGAGCCAGCAGAATCTGTTTCAAATGCCAGTGAAAAATGGCCCAAAAGGAGGCCTAAACATGACCCTAAAATGGCAACTGACAAATGGTCAAAAATGGCAGGAAAAAAGCCTGCTGAAAGCCTAAGAAGGCTTGTCACCTTTTCCCCGCACCAGACAAATCACGAGTCCACTCCAGGGCACCTGTAGTAGGACCATCACTGGCTACATCGCCAGCCCCACCACAACCACTAAGTGCATCGTCATCCGATTCAACTCCAACTGGAGCATGCCTTGCAATCTGTTTCTATGCACCATCCAGAGCATGCAACTCCCTCCTTCTACAAGGGCAAGATAAGGGAGTTGCCCCTGTCGGCTCCGCGATGCTTTCCTCAACTGATATGAGAACAACAGCCCAGGCTAATCTTCGAACCAGTCTCTCTGGCTGTCTCCAAGAGCTGAAGTCATCAATCTGGTGTTCCTGCCATGCCTGTTGGGGGACAGAAAGCCACTAGATGTTCTGTTTGGACAGAGCTCCAGGGAGCAAAGACCAGTGGACTTCCAGCAGCAGCACTGGAACCCATTCTACCAAGAAGACCTGTGGCCTGCTTCCTCATCTGCCCTGGCACCACCACACCCAGGGCCAACATCCTCTGCCATCCAACTACCACCAATGCACTCTGCTCCACCATCGCAGGCATTGCCTTTGCCATCCACTCGCTCCTCCACGTCTTCCATCCTGGCAGACTATGCCTCCAACTCGAATAAGGTACAGTATGATGAACCAGTTTCCACATCACCAGAAGACATCATGACTGTCCAAGGTCCGGGATCCCCCCACCCCCTCTGAAGACTTGGGTAGTTTCTTTGGCAGTACATGTCTTGCAAATGGTGACATCTCTTGGGGTGGAAACCCAACAACTAACAGAACCACCAATCAATCTGATCTACAATGTCATCCAGACAGAGGGGTCCATCCCAGCGACCATCACGTTCATGCCAACCCTTCTCAACGCAATGAAGGTGTCTTGGAAGAGGCTGGCTCAACAGTGGTCCATGTCCAAACAGAGTCTGCCAGGTCCAGGAGGGGTATATCCCTTTTCTCCTACATCAGCCTTGTCCAAACTTGGCAGTTGTGGAGTCGGTTCAAGGATGTCCTCACTGTGAAAACTCAGTGCCTGTGAACAAAGAGGGACACCATTTAGACTCCATTATGAAAGGAATATATGTGACAATGGGGCTCATGTTGCACATTGTGAACTATGAGGCTACAATGGCATATTCTTCTTTGTTGTCTCTGTGCATCAAACATATGGGTGCTGCACCTGCATAGTGCCTGCATTCAAGAAGATTCTCCTAGCATAACGTTTCATGTTTTGACTGTCCAAGCAACAACACAATACAGTATGACACCATTTGGACCATGATTCAAGAGTGCTTGTCAGTGCTGTAGCAATCCATTGTCATGCTTGGCTTGGGGCATCTACACTCCTGCAGGAGACGACGACTCATATTGAGGACATGCCTTTTGATGGTGAGGGCCTTTTAAGTTCCCAGAGGGACAAGAAGTTGGACAGTATCCAAAAGGTGAGAGTAATGGGACTAAGATGGGCTTCACTTCCCCAATTCCTAGAGCACATAATTGGCCATGAGGCCCATCTTACTACCCCAGAAGGAACCAGCCATACAAGCCACCTTGCTCAAGGCAATCTCCAACCTAGCAATGTTGGATGGCCCTTCTCACACCCAGTAGCCCTCCAAAAAGAGGCTGGATGCTGAGAGATGGCACCACTGACAACCATCCAGAGTCAGTTGCTTACTTTCAGGACCCATATGGTTCAAAGAGTGCTTAACAGATTATCTTCCCAGATGGGAAGACATAACATTGAACAAATGGGTACTCTCCATCATTGAATGTGGGTGCCACACTGAATTTGAATCCCTTCCACTCCTGGGAACAGCATGGACTACGTCCCCATCATTCACCTCGAAAGAGAAGGTAGCCATGCTTTGAGCAAAGGGAGTGATTCAAGCGGTTCCATCTACTGACTGGAGAAGGATTCTATTCAAGATACTTTAGCATCCTTAAAAGAATGACAGCCTTTGCCCCATTTTGGACCTTAGAGGCATGAACTTCTATATTCCACACAAGAAGTTCCAAATGGTCTCATTGCAAACTATACTGCCATTGTTACAAAAGGGAACTGGTTCACCTTGATAGACCTACAGAATGTTTATTTTCATGCCTCCATCCATCCAGACTATGGATATTTTCTCCACTTCCACATCGGGACAGAGACCTATGAGTTCTGTGTCCTCCTGTTTGGAGTGGCTACTGCCCCAAGAGTATTTATGAAATGTATGGCTATAGCCTGTGCACATCTTCAGATTGGAGGGTAAAAGTTTACACTTATCTAAACAATTGACTCTTAACTGCCTTATCCAAATTAGATTTGGAAGATTCCATTCACACTATCTCCACCCTCTTACAAGAGCTGGGTCTTTGTGCAAGCAATGTGTGCTTTGCCCTACCCAGTCCATCCAGTACAGTGGTACCTCGGCTCATGAATGCCTTGGTTCACAACCAAATCAGGTCGCGAACAAAAATTTCATGAAAATTTTGACATAGGTTGAGAACTCTGCATTGGGGGGCGACCAAGATCACAGCCTTCTTCCCACCCCCACCCCCACGTGGGGAGATGGCCACGATCGCAGTTGCGTTCATGCAGGGAAGACATCCGTGATCATGGGCATGCTCCTGCAGAAAAGACAAGCTCAATCTCGGCCATTCTCTCCCCCCCCACAGCACAATCGCACCCATCTCTCCCTCCCCCAGCGCACCCTGTTCACGCCTGTCTCTCCCCCAGTGTGCCCACAATCACACCCATCTGTCCGTTCCCCCCCCCCAGCGCACCAGGATGATGGGCACGTGCAGGATGACAGGCGCCTGCAGGGATGATAGATGCGATCTCTGTTGTGCAGGGATGACAGGTGCGATCGCGGCCATGCTGGGGAGGCCAGGAGATGGCCGCGCTTGGAGGGGGGAGGAGATGGCCGTGATCTTTGTTGTTCTTTGTCACTTTACATTTTCTGATTAAAAAAATAGTTACTGAACAGATTAACCTTATTTACATTGAACCTTATGGGGAAATTTGACTTGGCCCAGGACCAATTTGGGTCATGACCAGAGTCCTGGAACGGATTAAGTTCGTGAGCCAAGGTACCATTGTATATTGGCGCAAGGCTGGACTTGACTGCCTGGGCATATCACCCACAGGAGAGAGCTACAACCTTTGGCTAGCTGAGACCATCTCTACTGCCCTGCAGATGCAAGTCTTCCTAGGATTGATGGCAGCTACCATCTCAATCGTGCAACATGCCCACCTCTGCATGAGCCCACTCCAGTCATGGTTTGCGCAGAAGTTCCATCCCAACCAAAGTGCCTCATACTTCCTAACTTCATTTGGTCCAGTCTCACCTGGTGGACTACAACACAAATCCTTTTGACTGGGTGTCCCTTTCAGTCCAAAGACACCACATCTGACTCTAACTACAGTTCCCCATGGGGATGGGGGCCCACTGCACTGCCAAGAAAGCACATAGACTATAATAATGGTTTTCAACCTTTCCATAGCTGGGGACCAGTGAAAACAGGAAAACCATCTCAGGGACCACTGAGGCAGAAACAAAAAGCACCATGCACATAATACAGTATTCTGTGTATTAGTTTCCAAGCACAAAACGAAAGAAAGAGGGGGGGAGGGGAGGGGAAGAAAATCCTCCAAAGCAACCAGAAACCAAGCAACAAAAAATGCCAACAAAAGAACAAAATACCAAAATTGGTGCACTGAGCCGTGTCTCCCCTCCCTGGCCACTGCAGTGGCACCAGTGTACCCCCCACAAACGTGATGGCAATGGAGGAAGAAGTGGTGGAGCAGAGTCAGCCCCTGTGCTGGCCTGCGGTGAGTGAGATGCAGCCCCCCGCAGACTGGCAGGAAATCTTCAACAGACTGGCACTGGTCCACAGACCAGTGGTTCAAAACCACTGGACTATAAGACAGTCAAGAGGCCACCAGGCATATCAGTCTCTTAGAGATCCTCACAGTATGGAAGGCTCTTTTATCCTTTCAACAATTGCTCTAGGACCACCACATCCAAATCACCTCTGACAATGCCACAGTGGTGTTCCAACAAATAGGTTGGAACTCGCTGCATCTGTTAACACATAGTGACCATACAATATTAGTGTCATAGCAGTTCATCTAGCAGGGGGTCTACAACAAGGTTGATTGAGCAGAAAGATGGACACAACACATGAGTGGGAACTTCAGCCCATGATCCTGAAACAGCTATTTATGACATGGGGAACTCCATCCCTAAATCTGTTTGCAAAACCAGCCAGTGCTGTGTGCGACTGCTGCTGCTCCAGTCAGGGTATCCCAAACGATGTGTTCCTGCAGTGATGGAACAGAACTCTATTTTACATAAATGTTCCTGCTGTTTTCACTCCCAACCATGAATGGCCAAGGTCCAGAGAGACCACACGGACTGTATCCCAGTGATGCCATGGTGGTCATGGCAGCCTTGGTTCATGGACCTCCTCCTCCTGTCCAACCTGAACTATAGGAAACTCTCTCACTGGATGGACATAATATCTCCACCATAATATCTCCTCCAACAAGTCCTCCACCCTGATATAAAGACATTGTGACTGCCAGCCTGGAAGATAGTTGGGTAGAACCAGAATTGCCCCTCCATTCCTAACTTTCCACTAGGACAAGGCAGTGCTCCATTTGGACCACTGCTTTCTCCCTAAAGTAGTATCTTCCTTCCATCTGAACCAAGATATTATCCTACCAGCTTTCTTCCCAGACCAATAGAAACCACACTACACTCACTGGATGTCGGCAAAACCCTAGATTTCTACTGTTGTTGCATCAAACCAATCCACAAAATGAAAAGACAGTTCATTTCATATGCATAATGCTCAAAAGAAAAACCAGTAACACCTCAGAAACTGGCCCACTATATAGTGGAGACCATCAAATTGGCATACCAGCTAGCTGGACTTGTACTTCCACAAGAACCAAAGCTGCACTTGACCAGAGCGATGATGACATCAATGGCAGTACATGCCGGCTTCCTGATGGAAGATCTATGCAAAGCAACAGCCTGTCTAACCCATCCACATTTGTGCAGCACCACTGACCTCATGTTCGAGCAAGAACTGTTCCTTTTGACACATGATCTTGTCAGCAGTTCTACAATGACAGCACTGCCCACCTCCATTCCAAGGTAAGCTGGCCAAACACTCATATATGTGATGCACAAAGACCATGAAGAAGAAAGTAAAGTTGCTTATCTGTAACCAGTGTTCTTTGAGTGGTCATCTGTGCATTCACACAACCCATCCATCAGCTCCCTCATGAGTGTTGCATAGGAGTGTTGCATAGGAGGAAAAAAATATATGTATGTATGTATGTATGTATGTATGTATGTATGTATGTATGTATTTAAAACATTTCTATGCCGCACCCATCGCAACAAAGCCTCAGGGCGGTTCACAACATAATTAAAACATATAAATAACAAATAATACAATTAAAGATTAAAAAGCCCGGTAACATCTCAGCTAAAAATTTAAAATCCTATAAATACATAATAAGTTAACAATTAAAATAAGTTTTAAATAAAAAGGTCCAGGCGATGGTCCAGGCGACCATCTCACAGGAACTGGAGAAAATGGCAGGAGCCTCACCTTTATATACCATTGGGGAACAGGGTGAGGTGCCCACCAAAAATGCCTAGCTAGGGAATCTCTCTCTCCTTACCTATCTTACAACAGACCCTGTGCAGGTGCAGAGCCTGTAGGTGTGAATGCACAGATGGCCACTCGAAGAACGACAGTTACAGGGGCGCAACCTGCCTTTCTGCTGTGCTGCTGTCCAAATCACCACTCTGTTTCCCACCACTCTTTTTACTTACATAAAATTAAGAAAATAGATTTCCTTTAACTGTAACCAAATGGTTTTCACATACTTTTGAATTGCTCTAGAAGACAGTGCCTGTACATATTCTACTGACTTATTATTTCAGGCTAGCCCGGATTCTAGTACGTCTGCCAGCACTTAGACTGATGAGCTCTAGCATTACTGAAGAACTCTTTTTTACTGGGCTCATTGGAAATGTTCCAATTGACAGCATCATCCCGTACATCCTGAAAATGGAGACAGCAGAGTATAATGGCCAAATAACAGGATCTTCCGCATAGAAGGGATCGGCGCATCTGAATTGAACTGAGTGACTGTGATTGGATACTGTGTGCAAACATTTCCAACATGTTCCATTTTATTGTTAAGATTATTCTTGTCTGTATTCAAAGACAAGTTTTTTAAGAATGGTAACTTGTGCAAAAACATTTTTTCTAGAACCCACTTTTATCAGAAGAAATATGTTATAGCCTTTTTTCTGAACAGGCTGCAGTGAATTGCTGAACAGGCCAGGTCATGCTTTTAAGAAATTATCAATGAGCAAAAATAGATTCTATAATGCTAGAATATTAATTAGAAAGTACTAATTTTTTTTAAAAAAATGGATCCAAAGAACTCAAGTGGAATTCTGCTCCTGCAGCAGGGCTCTCCTGGCCTTCCTGCTTGTTGCAGCCCGTCATGCCCTCCCCCAGCAAAGCCACCCATAAGGATCGGAGGACCCTCAAGAACAACATGCAGTTCAGCATGATGGGTTGCTACAGGCAGAGAGGGCTGGCAGCGCATACATCCTTGAATAAGCAGAAATGTGTTTTCCTTGCTGAAAGGGCTCTTTGAATCCAAGGCTATATTTATATATAGATATATTTAAATATTTCAAATTACTATCTAAATTACCACAATATAGTGATTATCAGCACTTTCAAAGCACTTCTTGTTAAAACTATGGCATTGTCTTGATCTTGCTTGTATAAGCAGGGTAAATGACTAATTTTAACTACAGACATGCTAGTGATTTCTATGAAAACGTGAAGAGCTGTGGAAGACAATCATATATGCTATGAAATTGCAATTATATGTCTTTATTAGTAATGAGATTCTTTCAAGGATAGTTCTATACTATTTGAAACTAAATGTGGCTAAATTAATGTAAATGTTTACAGCATAAGTAAAACATAATGTTTATGGCTCAGTTGTCAGCATAATAGGTGCTGTACAAGTTATTCACTGGAAAACAACATACTGATTTCTTGACTTCGTAATGAGAAACAAATGAAATTTTTAAGAGGTTCAGTACCAGCCTGGTGCTGTTTACTTATGAATCTGTATCATAATTCCCTTTTTATGATGATGCAAGTGTCAGTTTAAATAACAACTTTATCCCCTTTAGTAACTATGTATATATGCATTATAATTTCAAACTCATTTCTTCTCTCTGAATTTCAAGAAGACTGATTTTGGCATATCACCCGATAGTACAGTACAGTGATTACTGCAGAATGTGAAGCTTGGCTTTGTTTTTAAGGGTCAAAACACTGCCTTAGGGTGCAGTCCTGTGGGGATGCCCACAGGCCCAAGAATGGGAGGCCAGCTGGCATCCACTGGTTTTTACTTCCCCATTCCTGCTCTGCATTTTTGCTTGATGGCTGCTTTCACTTGTTTAGGAAGGAAGGGGAACCTTTTTACAGACACAATTCTGGGTGCAGTGGGACTAGTCCCAGATAAGTAGAAATATGATTGTAGCTTACATGATAATTCTTCCAATACATTCTTAGGGGTATCTAAATATATTGCATTTCCTACCTTTTCCTATAGTTTGTCATGAGAACTACTACTGGGGAATTAAAAATATTATTTGATTTACAGTTTGTCTTCTACTTAAATTCTAAAATCATTTGTACACATCCAGTCAATAAGATTGTGCGTATGGATGTGTCTTGGAGCAAAAAGAAATTTGATGTTGCAGTCCTAATTTAAATTGTGTCTTAATTAAAAATAACAAAAGACCAAATAGTGTGAATGTTACAGTAGTTGTATAGTAGCAGCACTTCATAGAAGTAGGGTTGAGTGAGTACCACAATGACGAAACCCCATTTTGAAGAACACTTATAAAAACTAAAAATCAGTGCAGCCAAAATTCTATCTTTGAAAATATCTTTTTAAAAAGCTGTAACTATTTGTTGTAAAAGGAAAATACATTTTAAGGAGCTGAATTTGTTAAAATCTGCAAAAAACATATTGCATATGTAGGTTTTGTTGTGCTATTTTATGGTTTTATTTTTTAATACTGGGTTTTGTTTGACCCAGTGGTTTGATGGTATGAAAATGAAATATAATCAAATATTTTAGAAAGGTATTTAAAGTCAAGACTTTAGTATGCACTTTTAATAAAGAGATATGTAATTTGAATAATATCTTAAAACTAAAATAGGCCAGTGTAGAGACCTAAAATAATTTCATGGAAGACTTAGATAAGAATTTGCATTTTCAAGTGCAGGCTGCATTTACATAGCTTAATCTTTAAACTGCTTGAGGGTGCAATTTATGCATGTTTAGACAGAAAAACAAGTCCTACAACTGGCTGGGGCATGTTGGGAGTTATAGGATTTTTTTCTGTCTAAACATACATAGGATTACACCCCCAATTAATTGAGCTCTGCTGACTTTAGTGGAACTAAACTAGTTTAGATAATTTACTCCAGTTAGTTTTGGATTATTTTAAAATATTCTTAACTCAGAGCATTTAACGGCTGACATGGAGTATTTCTGTGTTAATATTTGCTCATAATGCATTTGTGTGTCATTCCCTTGTTACTCGTTTCCTATCTAACCTAGCTTGCATCCAATTAATTAAAATAAAGTTTCTGAAATTGTTCACTGCTGCAGAAATAAGGAATGGTGGATTGTACATCTAGGAGATGCTCAGAGATTTCAGATTAGCACAGTGTTCAAGGATGATGTCTTAGACTCAAGCAGCATGCATTCTGGCAAGGACCAGGAGGCTCTTTTCTAAGGGAATGTTTAGAAAGATTAATGCAATATGATGGACTCTTTCAGCAGCTGAGCTTTAGAGCAGGCATCTGCCTTACGAACAGCAATGCAAGTACCATTATTGAGAAGGAGGTTTGAGCAGTGTGTTCAAGTCTTTGGAATGCAAGTGAGTTCCTTAGGTCCCTGTTAAGCTTTAGTGGGGACATTTTGCAATGTAGTAGTCCATGTGCAAGCTCTAAGCCATCTTTATTCACCATTATTTACACATCTTGTCAGCATACTTTCCACAGATACTGTTCAGAAAACAATGCAATGATCAGCCATGTTTATGTGCATATAAGAAACTGTAGTCCTGGCAGAGGTTTGCTGCTTTTCCTCAAAAAGTAACTGCTGCTAACAGAAACATGTTTAATTTGGGGGTATTTTAAAAATACAGCATGTGATTCTGTTTGGGGAAGTGGCTGTTCAGTAAAAGAAAAGAAAAAACCCCACTGTGCACACAGATTTTCCGCTTGAACTTCTCTGAATTGGGACCAGGGCACTTAGGATAGGATATAGTGGGGCTTCCTTTTGTCAGTCTCATCCCATCTTCTTATGCTATTCCCTTCTGCCATCTGCTCAGGAGGGCTTCTCTATTAGAAAACCGTTCCTTCAGAGGGACTTCAGCATGCATAAATGTAAGACTCTGTAAATCATGATAGAAATAGCAGTGACAAACAGCAAGCCATTACATAACATTTTCCCCAGTTTAGCTTGTGCTGAATTACAGGGAAGTTCTATAAATAGCTGGCTGTGGAAGAAAAGTTAAAACTATGTGTCTATGGATGTTCCACTACCTTCAAATCCAGTTTGTGATGTCATGCAGGATGGAGGAGACGGAACACTCAGAAGAAGAAAACTCAAAATGCCATAAGGCTCACCCAGGCCCTTTAACACAGCTAAAATCATGCTTTGAAACCTGGCCCTGTTTCTTTGTGTGAGTGATGTTTATATGCTAGTATGTAAGTTTGTCCAGTATATTATGTACAGTGTAATATATAGTATGTATGTATATAGAAATATGTACAGTCATGTAATCATATATACCAGATTTATATATGTTAACAAAAGGATTTATAAATGCATTGCAAATCTTGAGCTTCCTAAATTTTATTTCTTGCTCAAAGCTCAGCCCTGGTATAACCATATGCATCCCACTTTCCTAGTCAAGTGGGCACTTGTTTCTATCCCAGGATGTATTTGCACTTTGTCTTAAATACTGAGGGTAACTATTTAATAGTTCCAAATCTTCTTTGAACAAGCCCTATCGAATTGAATGGAAGTTATACAATGACAGTGTTTTGTGGATTGTACCTGTGGACCATAATTTTTTTGTATATTCTCAACACATGAAAAATCAGCTTTTTCTTCTCTTCTGAAAGGGGTTTTTATTTTTGTTTATTTTTGATACAGTCTTTGCCAGCATGTTCGATGTGATCATTGTATTTTAATGTTGTCTGTATTTCCCTTGGAAGTTGCAAATTAGAATGAAGAGGCCATTGTGCAACAATGTGTACAGTTCACATTGACAACTATCTTGTTCTGAGTACAAGGCAAAATGAATGCAGTAGGTAGTGTCACAGATGTCACTATCAGTTAGGTAATATGTGATGCTCTGTCATCTCTGACAGATATAATGCAGTTCTTTTTAGAGAGAGACTTAAATAACCCTTTCCAAAAGTCTGAATGGCCCAAACAGTACAATGCAGAACGCATTAGTCGGAAAAAGGATTTTATTATATTGCCAGTGACCTCTATGCGAGATATCCAAGTAAATTCCGAAATGTAGCTTGTGAATTATAGAATTGGATAACCCTGCTTATATGGTGCCTCTGGCTCACCTGAGTATCTTGCCCTTCATTTCCTAATTTCCCAGTGGGATATTTTGGCCACAATGACAGCTATACATACAGTTACCATTTATCATTGTCCAAAATTGTTATGGACTTAGTAAGGGAGGAATTTAGCTGCTTAACGGAATATTAACTTTATAAGGGGTTTTCTTTGGCCAACTTCTTTGGCCAACTTTAAAAGCTCTTTTCTCAAGTAAACAAAAGGCACAGTCCTGCTAGGTGCGGTGGCTATTTCTCCCTCTACCCTTCCTCTTTGATGTTTGTAGAAGGAATGGATGTGTAGAGGCAGAACACCAGGGTATTACAGGGCACAGAAGGCTGTGTGCAGTGCCCCTTCTATCTTCTCATCCATCTCTTGCTATCTCCAGAATTCAAATAACTATTGTAGCATGGAGAGGGCCCATGAGGGGCCCAGAAGGTACACACACATCTCCCATTTTCCATAGTACTTTGGCACATGAGCTACCTCCTATGTACGGTAAGGGGGTGGGTGGAAAAAACTGGTTTCTTGAACCCTTCAAGGATCAGTGAATGAAGGAAGAGAAGGATCAGTGAAAGATCAGGCAATGAACCCTCTACATGCCAACATTATACACACAATAGAAAGCATCATGTCCTGAATTAATTGTTGTTAAATGAAGCTTTCTATTTCTATTCATCCTCTCCACCTTTGTCTTGATACTTGTATCTCAACTTGTCCTTAAGTTGGATATGGGATTGGCTTTCTGTGAGAGGAAGTGCTCTACTCCTAGAAGGTTCCCCTACCAAAGTTTTGGGGAACCTCCCTCCCTCAGAGGGGTCTTCTGACTGTGTAGCATTTTCAGGGAGCTTAGAGGAGCTGCTATGGGAAGGACAGGCAAGGAGGTTCACTTTCATCAATTTAGTTGATCCAGTTTAAAATTACACATCTAAAACAAATCAGGATTTGTATAATAAGGTGTCCTGCTAGTAAAGGGATACCATCTAGTGTCTGCAGTTGCAGGATTTGGGTTTTCACCAGAAAGGCCATAAAAAGTTACTATAGGTAACAAGGCACAGCCCTTGTAAAAGCACTGCTTAAATGTTTGGGAACGGCTCTTGTGAGCTTCTGTCCTTTCTCATTTCCTGACTTACTGGTTAACAAATGTACATAGATTCTTTTTTGTTTTGTTTTGGTTGTACTGTTGACCTTATGACACATTTTGGTAAGAAAACTCCACCTTACACTTACTTCAGGTGAGGTTCTCTTTCAGTTAGGCTGCAGTGCTAGACTCACCTTGAGGTAACTCCCATTGAATTCTGTGGGGCTTACTGCCGAATACATAAGATAGCATTGTTAATGTAATGACAATTGGTGCACTCTGCTTTTGTTAAATTTAAAACTGATCCTTTATGCTAAAAGAAATCCTTGTGTGTGTTTTACACTCTATTTTAAATGTGTTGAGGCTGTAGCATTTTAATTCAGACATCTTTTGAAAAGTAATGACAGATGTCAATGGTGAGAAGTAGGTCTTTCTAAACAGCATTCTGTAATAGAGGAAACTTTTCCCTGGACTTAAGGTACTAAGGTGATTTTTTGATTCTGACTCAATAATTTAAGCCATTTGTAGAAACAAGTAATGTAACTTTTGCTTTCTGTATTATTTGTGGGAGCTGGAGTTGAGGGATGAACTGGAAATGGAAAAATGGGTTTGAGTAATGTACTGTCCAAATGCAGACTATATTTATTTTCAGCTCATATGCTGAAGAGCATATGGAACTCATACTTAAAAGCTCCTACATTTTAAAGACTTCTGTCAGCAACCACTAATTCTAAACTGAATGTAAGGCCATTGTTCCCTGTAGTTTTTTTAAAGTGAAAAATCCTTTGTAGTATTTACTATATAATTATTGCATATGTATTTGGAAACCCGCTCAAGCTTTGAGCTTTCCTTAATACTTGCCTATTTACCACCAGAGGAATTTTCTGTGATAATTCCCTGTGGTAACTTTTATAAGCCTGTACTTTTTGGTTGTTTCTTAAAATGTTGTCTCTGTAAGTTTGTTTGTTTTTTAAATTTAAGGTTTAAAACCTATCATAAGCTGTTGCTTCCTCACAATTTTGTGAAATTGGCTTTGTAAATGTGATAGCATTTAAAATAGTGTGTTTTTTTAATCTGGATTTTTCTATCTAATCAATGTCTTCAGTCATGAAGATAAATTTGCATTGTTGTGTGTGTATATAGAGTATTGCAGTGCATGCTTATGCATTTCATTAAATGCTGTCTAAATGTGGCATTATATTGTTGTGGCTTAATATTGCTGCCTACAGGACGTTTATACTATTAAGAGAAATAAAGACTCTTATATGGCCTTGGATTTCTTAATTGCATTATTAAGGTCTTTGAATGGCATGTAATGAGGACATAACCGCAAAAGGGGCTCTCGATGGATCCAGTTAACATTGTTCTTCGTCGTGGCCTCTGTGCATCACACATATGGGTACTGCGCCTGCGCAGTGCCTGTGGCCGGAAGATTGATAGCTAACAGTTTTTGGCGGGAAGCTCTGCTCCCCCTCCCCCCTATGGCCTATGAAGAGTGGAGCGTCCGCCATTTTGTTCAGTCTTTGCGACCACCGTTCACTGTGCCTCGTGCCGCTTTCGACTTTCACTTCGACTATTACCTCGTTCTCGAATTGTCCTCTTATCCTGGTTTTTTCCTCTCCTTGCTCCCAGCTTATTATTCTGTGTAGCTTTTCTCTCGTTATTTCTTCTTTCAATCTATCAAAAAAAATATACTTACTCTTCACTATCTCTCTTTTTCTTCCTCTTCTTCTGTGATGGCGCAGCAAGCGGCTTTCCGCAAATGTGCGGATTGCGGGTCAAAAATGGCACCAACTGACCCGCATGACCTATGCCTCCTCTGCCTGGGAGAGGGGCATAGGACAGATAAATGCGTGCATTGCCTGGCCTTCTCCAAGCAGGCCAGGAAGAACCGCGAAAACCGGCTTCAGAGGCTCCTTTGGGATCGGGCTCTGAAGCAGTCAGACCCGCTCGTCGCTGTCCCAAAACCTGGCTCTGCTTCTGTGGCCCCACCCTCACGGCCTTCAAACGAAGGTGCGTCTGCTTCGGTGGCCCCCTCTGCTTCACCTAAAAAGAAGCATGAAAAGTGGAAGCATGCCGAAGAGAAGTTGGCAGGCCATAAGAAGGCCAGAAAGGAGAAGGTCTCCAAGCCTCCAAAAAAGTCCAAGACCTTGGACCGTCCAGACTGTTCCCGACATCGGAATTCGGAACCGATGGGACCCTCGGCGCCGGTGGCGGTTACGGTACTGATCCCACCCGAACCGGTCCTCCAGGAGGCTATGTGGGTTACCCCTCAAGGGTCTCCCCGCCATTCGGTTGACCTCCCGCCTGCACCCCTTCCAACTCTATGGGGTTCAATTTCCGATGGGGAAATCCAGGACTCCCCTCCTAGGGTGAGGTCACCGACACCCATGCCCGCGGTGATGATGGAAATGGGTGTTGGCCTGTCTCCACCAGGGAGCTGGAGGAGCCACTCGGTAGAGCAATGCCCAGAGAGTTGGCGTCACCCTTATTACCATACTTGGGGCGATCCGCTCTCTGTAGGGTACTATCCTGTTCCCAGGGCACGACCATCTCCTCCACCCCGCAACCAACCGCGATCAGTGGATTCGAGGCGGGTGCCACCTCGATCCCCACAAAGTGGAAGCAGCTGCTCCTTCTCGCCGGCAGAGTCGTCATCTTCAGCCCCACCCTACTACGGTGTCGATTCGGCTGACTCGGAGGTCGACTCAACCTCCCCGGACATCGCTGTGACATTCCAGGGTCCTGCGTAACCCGACGAGTCCCATGTCTCCTTCGCGGAGCTGATGTCGAGACTTGTCCAGTCCCTGGACATCGACACTGCCCAGCACCCGGGACCGTCGACGGACAAGTTTTACGACGTCATCCGCGGGGAGCAATCGACATCTATCATTCTGCTGCTCATAACCACCTTGCGGCAGGCGATGACGCAGCCCTGGGACCTGCCATCACATCCTCAGCCAACGTCCAGGAGGTATGAGTCGATGTACAGGGTTCAGGAAGAGGATATTCCCTTCCTCCTCAAACACCCAAAACCAAACTCTGTGGTCGTCGAATCCTCGCAGGGTAGAGAGGCGAGAGGACACACGGCACCGACAGATAAAGAGGGCCAAAAAATAGACTCCCTGGCCAGGCGAGTCTATGCTGCTTCGGGCCTGGGGCTTCGCATATCAAATTATGAGGCGAAGTTGGCGAGATTATCAATATTTTATTATGCAGCGCCTCCACAACGTTGCCTCCACCCTCCCAGACCACCAGGGTGATCTCGTGAAGGTCCTGATCAAGGAAGCCATGCAGGTCGCGGTTATCCACAGCAAGGCATCACATGGATACTGACTCCCGGGCCTTGGTCGGTGCCATTTCTCTTCGGAGGCATGCATGGCTCCGGAATTGTAATTTCCCGGAAGAAACCAAGCGGCGGATAGAGGAAATGCCTTTTGATGGATCCGGGCTTTTCCATTCTCGAACCAACCATAAGCTCAAGAAGCTCCATGAATCGAGGATGACAGCACGCAGGATGGAGATCCAGTCTCACACCAGATGTAAGTGGTCCTGGAATCGTCCATCCTACAGGCAATCCTATCAACCGAGGCAGCAGCCTCAACACTGCCAGCAACAACAACAGCAGCGCCGCCGTCCTCAGCCCCAACAGCGTTTTCAGCAGGGTCGCCGTCGTTTTGACAATCGGAGGCAACGCTGACGGGACTGGAGAACCATTCCTCACACTCCTTCAATACCCACCCCCCTCTCATTTGGGGATCGGCTTCAAAGCCGACTCCTCATTTGGGAGTCCATCACATCTGACCGGTGGGTATTATCCATTGTTCAACACGGCTATCGAATAGAATTCGACATCATTCCTCCATCGAGTCCGATCCGGTCTACTGTATGCTCACCAGTACTCCTCGACAAAATACGTCAACTTCTTCGTAAAGGAGCGATTCATCAAGTATTTCCATCTGACAGACTTCACGGATTCTATTCCAGATACTTCACGGTCCCTAAGCGGGATGGTGGCCTACGTCCGATTTTGGATCTACGGAACTTAAATACGTTTATTGTACCGAGAAAGTTTCGTATGACTACCCTTCAAAACATTTTGCCGTTGTTAAGGAGAAAGGGTTGGTTCGCCTCACTGGACTTGAAGGATGCCTACTTCCACATTTCAATTCTCCCAAATTACAGGCGTTTTCTTCGTTTTGCGATTGCAAGCCAACTTTATGAGTTCACAGTTTTACCTTTTGGACTGGCTACAGCTCCGAGAGTTTTTACCAAGTGCATGGCTCCTGTCTGTGCCTTCCTATGCCTTCAGGGCATACAAATTTATCCGTACCTCGATGACTGGCTGTTGGTCTCACAGTCCAGAGAAGGACTCTTGGCGGCCATCCATAAGACCTGTGCCTTACTAGATGACCTAGGCCTACGTATTCATACAGAGAAATCTTCTCCTTCCGACACAGACGCTCACCTTCATCGGAGCCCGCTTGGATTCGACGTTGGAGAAAGCTTTCCTCCCACAATACAGACAGCAGACTCTTGCTCGCCTTATCCATCGAATCCGACGAGAGGGAACGGTCATGGCGAGGTCTATCCAGAGGGTCCTGGGACATATGGCGTCCTCAGTTGCCGTGGTTCCACATGCCAGACTTCGGCTTCGCCCACTACAACTATTTTTCAACAGGGTGTATCACCCTCAAAGAGAGCCACAGTCCAAACTGATTCGGATCCCATCTTCCGTGCTCTACTCTCTGCGCTGGTGGCTGAAACCGCCCAATCTTACGATAGAAGTCCCCTTCAGTGCGCGACCTCCTACGATAACCCTCGGCACGGGGGGGGGGGGAGCGGAGCTTCCCGCCAAAAACCATTAGCTATCAATCTTCCAGCCACAGGCACTGCGCAGGCGCAGTACCCATATGTATGACTGCACAGATGGCCACTCGAAGAACATCAGTTACAGGTAAGCAACCTGCTTTTCCAAACAATTCAAATGCCCTATTGCCAGGAAAGATTTAAGAGAATCACATAGCTAGTTCTCAAGTTTCTTGGAGAGAAGAAGCCCCTCTCCTCCATAACCACATGGCAAAGGATTTTGGAGATATGACTAAGGGGATGAGAAGTAGCTCCTGTTAAAAGACAATAGTAAAAGAAATCCCAATTGAGCATGCCTAACAGCTCATTCTGTTCTGCCAAAGTATAAAAACACAAGGATGAAGTTGTTACTTGCCATCAAGTCAATTCCAATTCATGGCAACCCTATAAATAAATGAATGCCATTCCAATATATCTTGTCCTTGACAGTCCTACTCCACTGCCTACTATAATGAATAGGCAACTTTTAATTCAGTATCTCCTCAACCTATTTCCACAGTCCATGCAATGTACAGTTGGGCTTTGCAGGCCTTTATAGTATTCAGGCAAGAATCCTCATGACTTGAGGTGATGTTTATACACCATCATATTACACATCATACACTTCTTCATAGACTCACCAGAGTCAGGATTTTGTGTTATCCCTGTGCTGCAAAAATATGAATCTGAAGCAGGGATTCTTACGGTTTTCTTTTACATAGAAATCCCATATGCAACATCAGCTCATAATCAGATTCACAGCTCCTACTCTAAAAATCGAGCGTTTAGAGTGAAAAGGGCTATAACTGACCCATGAATCTTTTGATGGGGAAGAGGGAAAATGCCTAACTTAGTTTTTGGAGAAAGAAAATACTTGTGATGTTCTTGGAAATACTCCAGCACTTTAATCTTTGTAGGAAGAGGTTTTCAATTTATTAAAACACTTAATCTTTGAGAAAAACGAAGGATCCTCGGAAAAATGAAATAAAACCTTGCTGCTACAAACCCAAGTGGCATCTCACAGTTTGTGGTGGTTAATTTGCTGCTAAAAACGTAAGAACCCAGCTGGATCAGGCCAAAGGTCCTACTAGCTCAGCTTTCCGTTCACGCAGCGGCCTCCTCACACACCCGAGCGCGCGCGCCTTTCGCGGCGGCAAGTAGCGCGACCGTCGCTTCACGCGAAATGCAAGGAGCTTACGGCCAGCAAATAGCCCCTCGAATTCAGAGGAACTTGCTCCCGGCACAGCGATGCACATGGTGCGGCGGAGGGACTCCGAGTCCTCCGGAACTACTTTTATAACCGCCACTCCAGGTTCCGCAGCGAGCCTTCCTTCAGGAAGACTACATTTCCCGCAGGCCCCTGCGACCGGACAAGTCCGCTGAGCTTCCTCTTCCTCTCCGGCTCTAGGTCCTGCTTGGCCGTGCGTGCCCCAAGCGGCGTCGTGTGCTCCGCTATCCTGTCGCGGCGTGCTGTGCTTATCTTGTCCGCCCGCAGTCATGCCTATGAAAGGCCGGTTCCCCATCCGGAGGACGCTGCAGTACCTGAACCAGGGGGACATCGTCTTCAAGAACAATGTGAAGGTGATGACGGTCAACTACAACACGGGCGGGCCGCTCAGCGAGGGCGCCAGGTGAGCGCCGCGCTCCGGGTAGGGCGCAGCCGGGGCGCGCGGGGAGGCAGCGCCGAGCACCTCGCCACGCAGACGGCTTGCTCAGCGGAGTCGTACTGCTGGTCAGGCTTCCCCAGCCCGCGCGTGTTGAACTACAGTGCCCAGCTTCCTCCAAACAAGGGAGCTTCACTTCCACGTGTAGGCGAAGGCTGATGACGCCACTGACAGCAGCCCAAAGACAAGCCGAAGCCGACATGCTCGTAAGGTCGCAGAAAATCCGAGGTGGAGCTGTCAGCCCCATGGGTTGATCCTCCAGGCTTCCCTAGTTGTGTTGGACTGTAGCTCCCACTCTCTTCCTCATGCTTGTCTTGCACGTTGGTTTTGTGCAGTGTTTCATATTAGTACAGTACAAGTACTAATAATGTACCATTGAAACTGTGCCACATGGCCCTTTGTGGTGAAAAATCTTGCCAAGTATTGACCTCCGCCTAATCCGATATCCACTGGAGGATGAGAAAAGCCACATTCAAATTCAGGAGCTGCCCCTTCTTAATCTGACATGTTTTGAGGCTCTTCTGGGCTTTTTTTCCTTGCTCTTTTCTTTTGGCAAGTGCATATGCTTCATCAGAGACACTTTCCAAATGTGCATCATTTTTGTTTGTTTGTTCTTTTCCCCCCTTCCCACAGAAAATTTGTGTTTTTCAACATACCTCAGATCCAGTACAAAAACCCCTGGGTGCAGATTGTGATGTTTAAGAACATGACACCATCACCCTTCTTAAGATTCTATTTAGGTAAGTAGGGTGTGTGATCATGTGCTGTTTTGTTGAACTTTTGCTTAAGAGGACTGGAATGCCATTTGCTTCTTCAGACTTCCTTCTGAATCTAATAATTGGTAGAGGGACAATGTAGCGATTCTGCTGGTGTGCTTACTACCCCACTGTCCATTGGGTGAGGTGGTCTCTGGCATGGCGGTAGGTAGCCCTAAGACAGTTTCCAAATTCATGCTTGGGCTGCCTGAGCAGGCCAGATCACGATGTCATGGCTGCCAGTGACAACCTTTGCTCTGTCTCAATACCTTAGTGACCTAACACTCTGCAGGACATACTCTTCATTGGTTTATTTTAATAAAATATACATTGGTTCACAACAGAGTAGGTTGTTGGGAGGTCTAAGAACTGGGGTGATGCTGGTGTGGGGCAAATTCTCTGGGCCTGTGTTGCCATGACCAGACCACCTCTTGGGAAAGTTTAGAAAACAGCCATGCTCCTCCACAAGTGGGGTGGAGCAGTTATGATGATCCACCCACCAAGGCTTATAGAAACCAGTTATCAAGATGCAACTGGACAGCCATCTGAGAGGGATGCTTTAACTTGGTGCCCTGCACTGAGCACACAGTTGGACTCGGTGGCTTTATGGCTCCTTCCAACTCTACTATTCTATGATTCTGTGATTTCTCAGTTGTTTTTGGGAAATACCTGGTTCACTTGCCTGATTTGTGTGCTTACGTTCTGGTCTCACTGTGGAACAATGAAATGGAATGGTATCAGTATGATCATTGCAAGCATCCTCTCCAGGATTGTCAAGTCGCATTAGCTCTCTGGTTTACTGGGACCTACAGGATATGAAATGGATAACTGCCAGGTTAGTTCTATTGCAAACACTTGGGTCTTTAGAAGAAAGACATATCACACCATGGTAGTGATTTCTGGGAAACCTCTGTAAATGCAGTACTTAGAAAACTGTTTTCTTGGCAGATAATGGAGAGCAAATTCTAGTTGATGTGGAATCGAAGACTAACAAAGAGATAGCACAACATGTTAAGACAATTCTTGGTAAAAGCGAGTAAGTATCATATGTACAAACAGACTGTATAGCTTGTTTTCTTCAATGAAACCTAACTTCTGCCTCAGTCCAGTGAACTATGAGAATTAGAATATATAAAATGCATGTGTATGTGCACAGATGCCTGTTACTGCAGGCTTAAATTTGCATAAATCTACATAAATAACCTACACTTATAAGTAACATTGCATGTCATAAGTGACCTTGTCAGTCATTTGTTGCACACTTCAAGAAGAAGTAAAAAGAACCAGCAGTGTTCACATGTACACAAGCCTTCTCATCTGGTCACAAGCATTTTGTACTTGTTTTAGGTGAGTAATTAAGGACAGGCCTGTAATTAACACCATGATAAATAAAAAAGGGTTGCAGCAGATTCCAACATACTCAACTCTTGGGAAAACTACTGGGAAAGGGCATTGTCAAAAACAGCACAGGGAACAATGCTCACAAGCCTGGGAAACAAGCTGCATGATTCTGGGCAGATAATATAGTAGGCTTAAAGGAGGCCACCAGCTTCTCTCCAAATGAAGCTCTAAAACTGGCCAGGTTACCACATTGTGGTAGTTAAGTGATGGCAGCAACCTGTCATAAAACACAGATAGTTGAGCATGTTGCAAGTATGGTACAGTAAATTATTGTCAGAAATTTTAACTGGTTGTGAAAGGCTGTAGGAATTGTTTGGGGCATCATTTGGCTGTTAGAATGTGGTGACGCCTGTCTAGCAGTTGCTGTCTCATCTGACCATGGATTCATTTTACTCGGTAGGGAAACGCTCCAGATGGAAGCGCGAGCGCGGGAAACACTAAAGCATCCTGCAACGTTTGGCCCCAAAAAGTACCACATGCGGGAATGTATGTGTGAAATCGAAGGCCAAATTCCCTGCCCTGCCAAAGTGCCGTTGCCAAAGGAGATGACCGGCAAGTATAAAGCTGCCATGAAAAACAGTACCACTTCTGAGTCCGCTCTCTAAAGAAACTGATCAGCAAGAATTAGAAGTGGGCCACCTGATGGGAGACCATTTCAGTGGCAACAGAATACTTGAACTGCGTTCAACAAGGGAAATCTTTTCACTCAATTGACAGGCTTGTTCTTCTGGACTATCATAGGCTGTTTTGTAAATAGTTTGTATATGCCATTTGCTTTTAAATAGATTGAGAACAAAGCTTGGTTAATCTCTGTTTAATGAATGAGGTTCTTCTTGTAAAACACAAACCTGCCCAGATAGAAAATCCTACCTGCACAGGGTGCACATTGTCTTAAAAGCATGAGCTCCCCTTTCGCTTAACCTCTTCTTGTGTGAAGGAAATTCCAGTAGCTTAAGCCAAGAATTTTTGAATGTGCAGGCTGCAAATTTGCAAGAACAGAGAGAGTTTGCACAGGGTGTTGATGCATTTTCACAAAGATCATTATGCTTGAACAGCTAACATTTAAAAGGAAACACATTTTTGGTCCATAGGACTTCAGAGATGCTTGAAAGATTATGGCTAATGTAAAAATTCCAGAAATATCGAAACAGTCTCCAGTAATTCAGCTTTCTACCTATGTTGTTGCCCTTTTCCATCATCCAAACCAGCCTCATATGTCCATGTGGCAAAACTCCATTTTTCATGGTGCAGAACTTGAATGTGGATTTCCGAGACTGGAATACACATAGTGCCAAACTAGTCTAAAAATCTTGTATTGATGACAGTAGATTGAACAACTTATGAAGCAGTGAAGGATGATGGTCAAAGTCATACGTTTCTGTTTGAAACAATAGAGCCTTTTGGTAACTCAAATTTATTGTGGCATTTTTTTCTAGTTATGGCTGCTGCTTGCTTCATTTCTTCCAACTGCTCTCAACAAGGGCTGCAGCAAGGGACCGTCATACTTGCAGAACTGCTATTCGTAACACTTTAAAAAATAAGATGTTGTCCTATGCTCGGAACTGTCAGGAAAAACATGCTCTCACCTTGCTGAGACTGTCACTGCACTGGGTTCCCACAACCCAGATAATTCTGCATGGTTTCCATGGCATGCAGGGTTTTCGCCTGGATGTGCCTTGACAAGCTGGCTTCCGTGCTAGTGTGATTTTCTCCTTGCAGCCCTCCCACTGCTGCTACATATCCAATCAGCCACCATGCCTGAAATTCGATGCACCTGCTGCCCTTTCCAGGGGACTCTGGTAGCTGCATATCCAGACCATGGAAACCACAATGCTGGGTTCAGACAACTGGGCAAACCATGGTGAAGTGTGGAAACCATAAAACAGATTCTTTCTCTTCACCGTTTTTAAAAATCAAACACGCCATGCTGAAATATGGCAGCATTCAAACAGCACGACAGAAACACCATGGTTTGTTGTACTGTGCTAACCTCCTCACTCTACTTTTAAGTTTGTGCCATAGTAAACAGAAAATATTATTACATGAATAGTTGATATATTTAATGCTTTGATTTGAAACTACCCTTCTACTAAAGAATGGCATGCAGGGCAGATTAGTCTCAAAACTTGATTAAAATATTTAAACACAAAAACTAAGTAACAGTCTAAAAACAACATCAAACCTAACAGACCAGCTTGTGTGTCAAAGTCTGCTTTTGCCTGCCAGCAGAAGGAAAACAGGGAGTGAGGCTAGCCTCTTTCCCAGGGAGTTACTCAACTTGGGAGCACCAACCCTCCAAGGACCAAAGTTATTGTACAAACACCTCCTGGGCCCATTTCAGAAAGTCCCAAGTGAAAACTACCAGCAGGGACATATTCCCATTACCCAGTTCTCAGCATAGATTGTCCAATGTGTCCAAAACACTCCATCCTCTAACCAGGCAGGAAGCTAGATTGATCTGGCTCTCCATGTCACCCCCCCCCCCAAAATAAAAATAAAAATGTGGTTGAGAATGTGGCTAGAAATTATCCAACACAGTGGGATTCAGAGAGTTTTCAGTTTCTTTAAACCCACTTATTGCTTCCTTTTTTTGGGCAAAATACAATTACACTTTGCAAGAAAGAAGTGTTCACTACTAATCTTACATTTTGGCCAGTAGATACAAGCAGCTGACTGACTTGGGCTATGGCATTTATGTACAGTTGTACAACCATAAATCTAATGCATACTTTCACTAGGCTGATGCTTGGACCATGTTACCTGCTGCAGAATAAAGCTCTGTTAGGGGAAAAGCATCAGGTACAGCTATAAAGTGAATGCACAAGGAATACAAGTCACATAGAATAATGAATCTTGCTTTCTAGGTTCAAGTAGTACTGAGCCCTACAGGAAACAGGGTTGGATGCTGCACCGCACAAGTGGACTGGAGGCGTTTTTGTCGTATTTTCTAGCCCAGCTCCAGGAAAGTGAGCTCTTTGTGTGAAGTGGGATTTTGATACCACTAATTACATTTCCTATTCCAGGTGGGCTCAGAGTAGAGTGGCTGTACCTCTGTGGAGTATTTGCTTTGCATATAGATTCTATAGATTTGCATATAGTCCTAGATTCAATGCCTAAGAGGGCTCAAAAAAACAAACCCACCGCCTGAACTCCCAAGGTCAATGCAGAACCTCCATTACTCCTCTAAGTCATCAGATCCTCCAGGAGTTTCCTACAAATCCTTGCCCTCTTTCCAAGAACTATCGATCATTTTATGCCTTTTCCTCCTTATTTTAAGTGGTTGAAATGCCTCTGCTAAGGCCTAATTATTGGCAGGAAGTGTTAAGCTGAATTATGCTGGCATGTTTTGGAATTTGGGCCCCGCTTCTTTTGCCTTAGGCCACACCTCTTTCAGCTTCAGCATGGCTCTCACTAAAGCTTCCCCCAAGAGGAACGTGATCCTCGGGCTGAAAGAGCTTCAGCAACACTCCTATGGAAAATACTGAGGCGGACAATCCAGTAATTGCCTGACTGTATGGCACATTCCTCCATGGTATTCCAAATAAGCCAAGAACCCAGCAGTTTCCACAAAAGGGGCTCGCCACAGGCCAATAATTGAGTCTATGATTGATCAGGAAATGGGAAAAGCAGTTGACTAGTACACACCCACAAACAAACAAACAGGTCTTTTTATTTCATGTGAAAGCTTGCAAACTAGAATAGTGCATGCAAGTATAGAAACAGATGTCATTAATGTTAATCTCACAATGGCATGGATGTTCTTAGTGTCAATTCAGTAGTACAAATGGAAGGCTGTCAAAATGTGGGTCTACCACCATCCTATCAAGAAGGCTAATTACATTTCACATTGACTTGCTGTCAGGGAGCTACAAACCAACATAACTAGTAGTAAAAGTACAACAATTCTATAAGTCTAGCTTAAGGTATTAGACTATGAAGTAGATACAAACAAGGCAGAATGCATGTAACAAAGAAAAATACTTTTGTGTTAAAAAAAGAAAGCCGCTAAAACATTTATTTTGGCAGAAATATACAAAGAATGCCAGATGAGTTTGCTGCCTATAATAAATGTGGGTGGATTTGCTTTAGATGAACCACTGATCCAGAGCTGATGGTCACTTGAAAGCTGATGGTCACCTTAAACCATTTTTACTGCATCTCACCAGTCATCTAGTCTAATTACCTGACGGTTAGCCTCAATCCTGTTAGCTTTATTGGCCATACCACAAGCTCACCCCCAGTTCCTCATATATATTAAAAACTCAAGCCCCTGTTCCTTACAGCTGTAGCTCCAGGTTCTTTGTTCACATCCATTCCAGAGGATGACTGAATGTACTTCTGAGTGCTTATTAAAACAAGCTGCCATTTAGAAGTAGCAGCATTAGCTGAGATGTGATATATTAAATCACCTACAAATTAAGCCAGTTTTTCCCCTCTAAAGGAAACAAAGGAAAATGAGAATTATCTTCTCAAATAGTCTAAAGCCCCACCAAAAACTGAGAAAGTTTAAAATGTAACACATAGAACTTAGTATGTAAAGTGCTGACTTGACCATATTTGTGATTCCACCCTCACCCAGTAAGAAAAGTTAATTGTAAACATTTTTCTAGGAACCCCACCAGTTTCCATTAGCAAATTTAGCAGGGACCCCAAGCAAGAGTTAGAGCCCTGGCTATTCTTGGGCAAGCCCCTTGTTTCTTTGTGCAGTTTTCAGGCCATCATTTTTAAATCGGAATAAAAAATCTCTAGGTTTGTATAGCAGAATTGGCTCGTTTTCAGCTGCAGCAGCATCTTCCCCTTCTGAACCGAAGTAGAATTTGGCTTCTGAAAGTGCACAGTACTCTTCAGGTGTGCCATTCATGTGTGTCATTTAGACTGCCAATCATTTGCAAAAGTCATCCACTGTGACCAAATCATCTAGCGTGCAGAAACCAGAAGATGTCTAATAGCTCCACAGTTACCATTCTTTTGACATTTTCTGTAAGTTCTTGTGCACAATTTGGAGAGCAAAGCTGATAATGAGGATTCCTTCTCCTATTCCAATGGAAAAACAAACTGCTCAGTCTTAAAAGACTGCTGCCTCACGGCCTCCATTTAGTACAACAAAACTTAAGTTTGCACAAATAGAGGTTACATAGCAACACTGTTCGGTTGCGTACAGCCCCACCTTCCTGAGGTGCCTGCTATGATCATTCTTACAGTCAAAATTTATTAAGGAGTGCAGCTGAAAACACAGCATGCCTTTCTGCAGTACTTTTTTATAGTTTAAGAGGTGTCAATTCAATCAGAGGTAGATAAATGTTATTTAAAGATTATGACAGAACTTTGTTCTTTCATTTATGGCCAGATCAACTGCTGCCAACAGTTGGCACCTACTTTAATTTGCTGCTGTTTGTTGATATTGCAGCAAATGATTCCTGTAAACAGAAATGAGTGCCCTCCAGATATTTTAGATCACAACTCCCATCATCCCTCATCAATTGCCAGGGATTATAGGAGCTGTGGCTGGAAATATTGGGAGGGTATTGGGTTGCCTGCTCTATAGTCATAGGGCAAACCCTCAAACGGGGAAGCATGTCTGTGCCACAAGCAAAAAGCAGCTGGGCTGTTATGGCATTTCTACCAGCCCAGGGATTTTAGGGCTTGTCATTCTGAGAGGGGACGATAAGAAAGCTCTCGGCACCTTCACAAAAGGCTCGGCAAGAGTTCCTGGAAGAAGCTGTCAGAGTAAAAACAGTTTATGCTTGTAATAAAGACAATTCCTGAAAAACAAAAGGAAGCTTCATTACTTCAAGACAGGTTCTGGGGGGCTACGTTTTCTAAAACAAAGAAGCATCTGTCATCACAGGTGTATGAATCTACTTTAAAATCCCTTTGAATTATTTTTATATTGCACAGTCAGAACATTGGCCTTGATACTGCAGGTCACTGCATTCCAGTAGCCTGCTTTCCAATACTTGCTCTCAGCCTATGCAGCAATTATGCACATCTGCTAAAGGGCAGCATTTTGTTTCATGCTTCACGGAGGGTGAAATCAAACGAAGGTCCCTCCACCAGTGGAAGGCTTCCATCAATGGAATGGGGCAGGAGTAATGCCACCCCTGCTCCCTCCCGCAAGGGTCTACTCAGGGGTGCTGGGGTCCACCAGTGCAGATTTTGGGGTCTAAAGGGTAACAGGAAATCACCTTCTGGCAGAAGAGGTGATTCTGAGTAGATGCTAGTTTGATTCCACCCATAATTTAAACAGTCTGGGTCCCCTGCTAGTGGAAAATCAGCTTGAAAGGCTATTCTGTAATACTGCAATAGCGATCAAATGGAAGAAAGATTTGCTGACAGTTTCCTATACCTTCAGTTTTATGCTCTGAAGTTTAGAGCAGAAATAAACATATGCTAAGAAGCATGATCATGCTCTTAAGGTGGGGTTATAAGTTTAAAATAGATTTTAAAGTATCTGTAAAACAGTGTTAGGTTTAGTACAGCATTATAAACTGTATGGCCATTATTTGCAAAGTTTGAATAATAGTGGAAATGCCTACACCAAAGTGCATAATATTAGACTCAGTCCCAGAACTCCCTCTTGCAAAGTGTTTTTAATTCTGTCCTCCCTGCCTCTGGGACAAACAGGGAACAATATAAAGTTGTGCGTGGATGTAACTCCTAGTTTAGCAGCTGGATTTCTCCTTCTGTTTTGCTAATGTACGTTTCAGTTCTTTCAAATTCTCTGTCAGCACTTCTATTTCATCCATCCGTCCACTGTGTTTGGCATCAAAAATATAAGCTTTGATATTATCTATCTGTTGGAGCAGTAATTCCTCTTCTATGATGTCTTCTCCTGACAATTCATTATCATCATCAACTTCAAAAGGATTCACGGAGGATGACGAAGAATCTTCAAATGGATTCCCAGGTTCCTGAGGACCTGTGGGTACACAAAATGGATTTCCAGCCACATCTTCAAAGGGGTTTGGAGCAATAACAGCTACTCCGTTTGCTTGCTGACAATCCTCTTCGTCTTCAAATGGGTTGTATTCTTTTTTACCACTGTGCAAGGCTTGAGTAGGCAAGGAAGTCACTGTGGAGGTTTCATCAGCAAAAGGGTTATTTGGCTCCCTCTTTAGACTGCTAGTGGCTGCCTCATATCCAGAAAGGTCTAAGGGAGCACTCTTATTTTGCTCTGTCCGGTCGTGCTCTGGCACCCACAGAGGTTGGCAAGGGAAGACTGGGCTCTCACTAGCCGGCAGTTTGTCGCCACTCGTTGGGGAAGATGTTTTAGAGCCCGGGTTACTTTTGCTCGGGGTGGTATCCAGATCCAGGGCCTGTGCAATTTGGTTTGTGCCCTCCTGCCCAGGCTCACACCTGTTGTGCTTTACGTCTCTGAAGTCCAGGGAACGGGTCCGTGAATGCTGAGTCATTCTTTTTTTATGTTCCCTCTCCCATTCCTTTTCACAAAGGATCTGCAATTGTTCTCTCTGCATCTCCTCCATCTCAGCCTGCCTTTTAGAAAGCTCAATGGCTCTGTCAGTTTGCTGTTGATCATATTCATCCTGAAGTTGCCGCAGGTTCTCCTGCAACATCTGAACCTCGTCGAGGCGATTTGCTTCCTTGGCTTGTTTAATAAAAGACGTGATATTGTTGATCTGCTGAAGAAGTGGGTCGGCAAGTTCTTGCTGGCGAGATATGCTAGCACTGGGGAGCCACCCCTCAGCTTTCCTCACTGCAGCCCTTTTTGGCTGGGACACCTCACCATTGGATGCCGCCAAGGATCTGGAAATAAAGTCCATGGACTTCTCCTCCAGCCGTCTCTGTGTTTCCAGTGTTGCCTGGCAGAGAGAGGGGAGCAGAGAGAGAGTTAAAAGGAACCAGAGCATATGAGGAGCCTGTGCTGCAGCTCTGCCCCTCTTAGTATTGCCTCAGATTCTGGGTAGGCCGTGGGCCCCTCCCAAGCGTCCTGGCACCCGAGAGGCACAGGAAAGAACTGAGCTCTAGTAGGTCCTGCACTGCAAAAGCAATGTGAGAAAGGGCACATTCTGCATCAGGGGTTCTCTGTCCCTAAATGTGTTATAGGAAATATGTCCCACTAATTTCATGTGGACAGTGTATGTAGGCATCTAAATCCTTCCAAAGGACATTATACCAGTAGTTTTAACTAATCATATATATAAATGCTTCCCAATACTGACTGAAATATTCACCTGTCTCTCCATCTGTAGTTTTCTCTCCAATTCTTGTTTCTTTTTCTCCTTCAGTTCTTCATACTGGTCTTGGGTTGGTAAGGACATCAAACCAAGCAATTTTTCCTAAGGAAACAATTTCAAAATACTACTTAAAGAAGGTAGAAGCTACTAGACCCTAGTAGCATATTCAAAACTTGAACTGCACTAATGAGTATGCGTGTGGAAGTGCAAGCACAATTATGTAGCGTGTGCAAGCGCAAGCACAATTATGTATTTAGGTGGATGCATCTTTTCTAACTGAATTCTTCTTTGTGCCTCTCCATCAAATGTGCTCACAGCATGTTGTACTACAAAGTTAAAACATGTATTATAACAAAGTTAAGACACATTTTTATAATTACAGTAATACAAACTATGCTAAAGAAAACAACTTAAAACAATCTCAATAATGGCAAAGGCAGAAGCAGTCAAACAAATCAGTGCATCATTCAACTAAGGGGTCCGAAAAAAATTAGTAAGTTCTTCGCCTGACAGCTAAAACAATAAAAGCACAAGTGCCAGAGAGAGTTTCTGGAGGTTTGCCAAAGAAGCTCTATTCCTACTGCCACTCACCTATCCTCGCAAGTAGCCCACCTGGTGCCTTCCAGACAAGTTTGGACTGCAGCACCCAGAATTCCCAGTCAATGGCCCTGCTGAATGGGAATTCTGGTCCAAATGCCTCTGAAGGCCATCAGGATGAAGAAAGGTGATCTAGAAAAATACTTGCCTGTGAAATCTGTATGTCATCCCATGCCCTGTTTCTAAAAAATGCATAAACATGACTAAGAGCTGCTCTCCTCTCACAGTTAATGTACCTGTACAAAAAGCGTGGCTGAATATCTGATCATCCTCTGAAGGTGCAATGTTCTGGGGTGAGGTTGTGGCTCTTCATTCAACCCCAAAGTCAGAATCTTCTTGCTGAACCAAAAAACAAAAATCTGAAGTAGCAACTTGTCAGCTGTGATTTGTATGAGCACACTTCAGAAAGTTAAACTACTATAATCAGTCACACAAAGACTTCCCAATTATACATAAAGTTGAATATGAGTAAATATTATTTAGGACTTTATAATGTTGTTTAACTGTCTTATGTATTTCACAATAGGTTTGTCATCAACATTTATAAAGTTCTCACATTTCTCACATATAAGTTGAACCGCCACATACAATAATAGCACAATGATGTTTTGGGTTTAATTTGTCTAATATTCTGTAATAAAAGGAGTTAGGTTTCTTTGGCTAGTAACTGATTAGAACAGATGCAGACTCTGAGTTATTTCATTAAAGCAGAGTACAATACAAAATAAGAATACCCAAATTAAGGCCTTAGTCAATATTTACTGACTGAAATTAATGGTTGCAAACATGCTTGGACTGTGGCCTACAGCAGGAAGTATTGATTTAAAATATTCTTCTTCAAAACCGATTTCAGCGCCATTTACAAAAATATAATCAGAAAGTCAAACATAGAGTAAATTCTACCTCTGTGATATCCCACTTACCTTAATGCATCTATTAACTCGTACATCTTTTGCAGTTCCATTCTAAGACTGCTAGCATTTGCAAGACCGTAGGTTGTCTCTCCAGCACTGGAAGAAAGCATTTGCATTTATATTCTAAATTGTCATCCTCACCGATAAAGCAGAATTACTTTGGGGGAAAGCAAATGGCTCATCCTGTGTAACAGTAAAGCCCTTTTACTGGGCTAGCAAGACTAGCATTAGTGATTCTGAAAGCAACCCTGCAAATAAGAAGAAACTCTTGTTCTGGGATTCTGACAGGTCAATGGAGGTCCCTTCAAGCCTGCTAACTTACTGTATTCTGCAAATAGATATTTCTGTTCATATGTGGTTGCTTTTAAAGCTGATAGCTCATTGCATTAGTGATGAATCATGCCAGGATACCACTATTTGAAAAGTGTGTGAGTGTTAATATAGTAACAAATCTTACAAAAATACAAAATATTGTTACTTTAAATTTGAACAAAGGATTGACTTCTGGAAATGTTCCTTCGGCGCCGATAAAGCCAGGAGCATTAATAACCATTTTAAAAGCAGTTTACAGCCCAAAAAACTCTTTGGCACATGGGAAAAATTACACACAGCAATTTCACTGTATCAGATTTCTGTGGTGAATAACTTGTATGTGAACAAACTTCCATATTGAAAGAACCATTATTTTACCCATCCAAGATCAAACTACTGACCAATGGTGTCTGCTCTAACACGAAAGCAACGCTCCTTGAGCAAGGGCAAACTGAAACAAGCAACTAGTTCATACATACAGGTTGTTGCTTATCCAGAGTTTACCTATGAGTTGTATGCCAAATGATCACACAGAAAGTTGCAGGATTTGTGTGTTTTCAATCCTTGGATTTTTGTTTCCCTTCTCTTTCACCCAATTACTCTCTATATATCTACAAAGCCTTTGCAATTCTGTAATAAGAGTCTATAGAACAGCTGCATTTTCTGACCACTGTTGTCCACTGCCACTCTATCTTAACAAAATAAACCATAGTTCCAGGTTTGCAAGTAAAAACAACCCAGATTTCACATCCCAACCACAAGCAACGAGTTATCTTCCAGATTTTTTAAGTTTGAAAACCCATAGTTTTCAACTATAGTTCTGGAACCACATTTAATGACAAGCCAGGATTCAACTACTCTGAGTTTTCATTATTTGCAAATCAAGCCAGTACTTTTATGGCTTGATGTATCTCATACATCATACAAAACTGGTGTGTTACAATAGCCTTAAGGGGTATTGGTGCCGCAAGGATGCATGGGATCCCAAAAAATCTGCAAGCAACTGTGGGGTAATAAGCTTTCTTAGGGCTTACTGAGATGTCATAAAATAGGGAGCAAGTTTTCAAGTCCCTCACCATATTTCTTTTGGCTGCATGTTAAGCAAACAAGAGTCCGGGGAGAGAAAGGATATTGATGATTCCAATCTGGAGCTATCCCATAATGCTCTCCAATATCCCTTCTTGTTTGACTTAAGACCCAGTTATTAATGCGCAATTCATGTCTAGCTTTAGGAATTGGTTGTAGATTTGACAATATTTTTTCCTGCATACCACATTCAAAAGGCGTACTCATTTAAAAAAATGTAACTGAGCAAGCTTACTTTAATGATTCTGCCATCTTTATGTATTCCGGGGCCTTCTGATCAACATTTTCCATGCAAAGTCGTAGTTTCTTGTTTAAAAATTAAAATTAATAGAATAAAATTATTTACTGCAAGAATTCAGATACAAAAATGCTTAATAGTATGCATTCTATTTTTCCTGACTTTTGCATTCATAAAATCTTTGATAATCATTGCCAACTTCACTTCACTATCCAGAAGATTGATACCTTTGATCAGGGCCTACTAGATGTACCCATGAATCTAACTTCGGACTTACCATGATGAGTTTCCTTTGGAGCAGATAGAAGTTATTCTCCCTCCAATCATTTTAACAAGCAGTACTTAGGCAAATCAGACTTGGATGTGCTTTTCTGTTTTGTCAGAACAACCAGTTTCAGGAAGAACATATCATCAAAAATGTTTAACTATAAAGTTTAGATTCTAAACTTACTCAATTTTTTCTCCTCCTACAAGAGCCATAAATCTTAAAGAACAGTGTATAAAATATCAGTGAAAAAGGACAAGGAGCAACTAACTGAAATTTCTCACTTGCCTCCTTCCAAAAGCAGTCAGATAGCTGGTCTGGGGGAGGGCCATTTCTGCAACAGCCTCACCGCTCTGTAATGACCAACCGAAACCTGCCAAACCCCATAACCAAAGGCCTTCAGGAAAGTCCTCAAATCTTTTCCCCCGCTTTGATCTACTCCCAAGTTGTGTTTTATGGGGATGATTATACTTTTTGACTGAAGTTGTGATTTCTTTGGGTTTTATTATTTAGCACTTTTGAGAGGGCTATCGGTTTTATTATGGTCTCTAGCTTTAATTCTGATTTTTTTGTTGCACTGTTTTATCTTGTGACCTTTACCAGGAGAATCAGTTATATGCCTCAGTTATTGTACCTCGGAAATGCTGCTGGATCACAGCAAGATATTATTTTGGGGTCCCTCACAATCAGCTGCTTCACTGATCACTGCTAATTCCACAGTATTTATGAATACAGCATTGATACTGATACAGATCTCTGTGGAATCCCATGGTTTGCATCCTTCCACCTACTCTCCTGCTTTCTGCTCATTAAACAGTTGCATAAGAGGGTTACCATGACTGCTAATTTTACTCAGGAATCTTTGGTGATGGATTCAAGTGAGTCAAGACTAACCTTTGCAGAAACCACACTGATCCCTTTCAGCATGGCTTATCCTTCAATAGGCTTGCTAATTTTATATTTAACAATATAAATTTAATAAGGGTTTCAAACAAGTTACCTAGGACAGACATTAAGCTAACCATCCTGTTAATTTCTAGAATACACTCTGGATTCCTTTTTAAAAACTAAATATTAAAGTGGCTGTTAATCATTTACTGACAATGTCCTGTAGCTACAAACCTGGCTTACTCTCAACTAAAAGTAATTGCCATGCATTTATCAGTTTATGAGCATGTTTATGGTATCATCATTTGAAAGTTTTACCTGTTAGTAGCCTAAACCACATATGGATCTTGTATCTAGCAAAGTGAAAAGTTTTTGCTCTATTTTTTTGCTATTACTATTTTGCTGCTGCTATACTACAATATTTTGCTACTCCGAGTGAATGCTATCAAGTCAACCTTGGTCTAGTTCCCTGAGCACTTTTTCTCTAGGTTTCTTTCCTAAGGGTCCCCTCTGTGATGTATCAGATTTCATACAAACTGCCACCCACAAAAAATGGGAGTTAAATAAATCCCATTTTTAATGCTTGCACAATATTCCCTCCACCTATGAGAAATTTGGAGGGCTACTCCCCTCAGAAGGGGGCTAAGCATTTCTGTCAAGAAATCAATAATTTTTTTGTCAGTTCCTTTAAAAAAATAAACAAAGCTTTGGACTGAATGAAGTTGAACTAGATGGCCTCTGAAGCCGTCCAAGCCAAACTATGTTGTTTCCAGTGAACAGCACTCAGTATAACAGATAAGAAATAATATTAAGCAGTAGAAATCGCTTGTCCCATTTCTCTCCAACTCCTTCATTTACCTCATATAGTTTCATGATATCTGGGGTGTACTCTTTCTCATCAATCTGCTGTTCTCTTTTGAGCAGGGTGTCTTTACAATGTCTGCAGCAGCGGATTCGATCATCATCCTTTTCATCTAGGACAGAGCTCACACTGCTTACACTACTGATACTGCCACGGCGAGAACCCTGAATGCTGTTCGGTGAGCAGTTTGGGCTACTGTGAGAGGCCAAGACCTCCTTGCTGGCAGTGGTGAGTTTGCCTGGGAGGACACACCAACAGAACATAATAGCAACAAGACAATGGTCATCTCAAAGCAGGCCACAGATCTTGAGCAGAATTTCATCTCTAGAGCAGCTACTCCTCTTAACGTGGCTGGCTGGCTGGCTGGTTTTCTTCCTATATTTTTGTCCCACCCCACAGCCAAATATGGTTCTCTGTGCAATAGCTGTGCAATAGCTGTGCCCTACTTAATAGAATGGATGTTAGGAAGAATTAGATCAAGATGTTTTCCCCTCATCTTCAGCCTTAAAAGACAGATATAAATATATGTTTGATGCAACAGAGTATTAAACAGATGGCAAAAGCCACTGAACAGGGATATGAGGATGTTCCATACTAGCAGCTAGCTGCTGTGATGTATGCAAAGCAATAGCCAAGAAAACAGACCAAGTGCTTTCCACTCATACTCCACTGGAGGACTGGGAATCCAGTTTTGTTGTTTGCTTTAAGAACTCACAGGGATAGCAACAGAATATTAAAAAAATCATAAAAGCCACAAGCAGGAAATTTTAAAAAAATTGCAATTAAAGGAGCAAAGACTTGTCATAACAATTATATGGAGTATTTATTTGTTTGTTTGCATTATGAAACCACACCCAATAGTCCTAAGCAGGGAACCAGATTTAATAGATTTCAAAAGGGCTGGGGGATGATGGATCTTGCTCTACCGGTGCCTTTTTTTTTACCTGGAATAGGTCTTATGCTGGCAAGGGTGTGTGTTGCCCTACATTGCTTTAAGTGTAATAAAGTGAGGGAATAGAAGCAACTATCAAGAAACTCAAGTTTGCAGATCACCCATGATTAGTCCTCAAGTTCAATTTATTTAATGGGTAGCCATTTTCCCACTACCAACTTATCTTTCATCTTTAATGTAAAACTGAAATTTATCTAAGTTATCCACCTAATTATTTCTTAAAGAATAAGTACTTAATTTACAACATGACTTTTCATCTAATAATTAGCCAAGTTATAGTAACTTACATCTCCTCCTCAGGAGGATACAGTATATACTATATGGGCTTGAAAAGGTGCGGGAAAAATATCAGAAGAAAATATGTCAATATCTCAGTAAGTAGTTTCCTGTAATGGGTGAAGTTCTGGGATATTTGGACTGGGAAGAAAGGAAGGTAGAGTTAATACACTGGACTTCTACTTTTTGTAACAAGGGTAAAAATTGAAACAGAAATCTTGCCTAAATTATATTCTACTAATCTGTTTAAATGGCAGGTAGCCAGAATTTTAAAACATTGGGCATTTATACCAGCCCACTGTACTCACTTGCAAAGGGAAGGCTGACCAGTTCCATGCACTTCTTGCACATGATAGACCCACAAAGCCGGCAGTGGTGACGTCTGTTTCGTATGCTGAACTTGTTGCCACAATCTGGACAAAATGGCACGTCCTGATCATTAACCCAAGGCACAACAGACTTCTCGATTGCTGTAACAGGATTCAAAAACCTATTAAACATCACCAATGACATCCATGATGGGAAATACTGGCAAAGATCAAATATACTGCTGCTTACCTCTTATCTTTGCAGAATCAGTATTGGCTCTGTCAAAGGACGTAAGCTGACAAGAGAAGGAAGACCAAGTGCAATCTTTTTACAACAGCTCACCACAGCACTTGAAACTACACTTCTGCCTACTGATTCTGTTTCTTAAAATACATTTTCATTTAATTATTTCTTTTAAAAACAGATATCAAGCCTGTTCACATTCCATGACTGCCCACCACGGCTTGATTTACCTGTGGGCACTGCTGCATCCTGCCAGGCACTTGTGGGTGCCCAGTTTGTCATGGCTGCTTGTGTCATGTAATCCCCAGGAGGCAGGATTTATGTGAGGGTTAAACAACCCTCAAAGAACCTTAAAACCAACCATGGATTATTTGAGGGTTCTCTAACCTTTAGACAACTCCTGCTACCTGAGTCAGTATGACACAGGTCACAACAACCTGGATGCCAGAGGGCACAATGCAACAATGGGTCCTAGAAGCCCCCAGTACAACACAACATCCCTGGGCATCCCTTTTCTATCATTTATCTCAGGAATGGGTAGCTAAGTTAACAGAATGCAATCTGTGGAAAAATAGAAGAATAAAGCCTGTTTCAGTGAAAACTTAAAAGCTTGAGAACTCAAGCCAAGTTGAATCAGAAAGAACTGAAAAGCAGAAAGTAAAAATCTCATTGTTCAACATTCAGTGAGCACTTAATTATATGGGGTGGCGGGGGACTGCTGCTAGGGGAAAAATAGTCCTTCACTATGCCACTTTCTATTCTGTTCCAAACTATGCAATACTGGACCAGGAGGTGGACCATTTGCTCAACAGCCTGTCTGTGAATTGCTACTGCTGCTGATGCAGCATGTTATCAACAGATCTTCACTGGTCCTTTCTATACAGACCTTACAATTTACTGTGAACCTACATGACTCTCCTCCCAGCTTTTCCATTTTCAGAACTGGTATGAGGAAGGACACTTTTCTAAATTTATTAATACATTATTATTCTTGACAGGGAAGTTTAAGAACAATGAAGAAGCTGGCTCTTCTGTTTCCAGAAGCACATAACAGAAGGTCAACTTTAATTTACTATTGAACTATAAGGTGGCAAGTAGCATATTAATATTCAACAGAAGCAATATCAAAATATATGGTTCACAAAGGATTTCACAAATATATAAGGGGGGAAATCAAGCAGCAAACTGTTTACCTTTTCTAACCTGATGATTAATTTATTGACTTCAACAACATAGTGATCAATCCTGGCTGCTCTGTGCTTCTTAAAGTCTGAAAGATGGCTTCTCATAGCACCTGGTAAGAAACAACTAGTCAGAGAGCTTGCCAGAGTCATACAACATCTGCGGTTAACCAGAAGTTTACTATGGTCTTGTTTCTCTCTTACTCTCATTTGCTGCCAAAGCTAAAACTCAGCAGCAAAGTTCAGTTGCTACTACAGCAAGCTCATATTACAGCACAGTCCTGTACATGTCTTCTCAAAAGTCATTTCCACTGAATTCAATGAGGATCTCTCTCAAATAACTGAACACAGGACTGCAGCCTCAATCTCTCACATCAAACTCACTACATTTTAACAAGGAATTTTAAAATCACAAAATCACAATTCTGATGTTATCATATAAGTTGAAATTGGAAAAGAAAAGTATGGCACACTAAAAATCCAATTAACTGTATCTTTTTAAAACATTTGTTTTCGATTCCACAGTATAACACATAGAAAAACTTTTAGAAGGTTTTCCAAAACCATGAAATATTCCAAAAAAACCCATGAATATCAGCTTATACTTCAAGAAATGCACAGAGCAACAGCATCAGAAATGAGCGCAGATGAAAGTGCATATTTTCCACAGTTCACTACAATACTGGCCATGATTCAAGGAATGCACCATAGTGTCTGCTCTTGGCAGAGGCCCTTGTATTAAGTCGAAAACTACTAATGAATTTCCACCACACTTTCGGAGCAGTCTGCTGGGTAAAAAAAACAGCTGCTTCCTGAAGGGAGCCTCACTGTAGCCACAGAACCTTCCACCAGCTTCACCAACCAGACACTGTGCCACACCACATGGTGTGGGAGGAAATCCAACTAGGCAAGCTTGGTATTGAAATCACTCTTTGAATAATCTCACTTTTGATTTGGTTTGGGCATCCATCTTCAAGAGTTGCCAGGGAATGCCACACTGGGAACTGATGGGCAAGCCAGAAATGTATTTCAAAAATCAGCAGCAGCAATGTCATGCTGCATGTTCTATTTCAACTACAGTGGAAACCTAGATCAGCATTCAGTACAAAACTAAGCATGCTTAGAAAGAAAGAAAGAAAGAAAGAAAGAAAGAAAGAAAGAAAGAAAGAAAGAAGGAAGGAAGGAAGGAAGGAAGGAAGGAAGGAAGGAAGGAAGGAAGGAAAGAAGCAAGCTAGCAAGCAAGCAGTATGGAACTTAAGGTGTGTGTATAACCCTGCACTGGATTATGTCCTTGGAGGCCCAGTCCTATGCACTCCAGGGCCTTTGGACACAGACTCTCAGCATCCTGATCACTGGCCATGTTGCCTGTAGCTAATGGAGTTGTATGACTAAAACAACTGGAGAGCACCAGGTTAATGAAAATAATTTAATCATTTCTATTTTGCATACTTATTTACACTTGGAAATTTTTAACATTATTATGTATACAGTCCATGAGAAATCAGGGGACTTCCCAAAGAAGGTTTCACATTATGTGCATCGTAATTGTTTACCTAATTCTTGGGGCTCCCACATATATGGATCCACCCCACCATAGCTGTAAGATTCATATCGCTCCTGAGGGCCCCCATCCGTTCGGTCATCATCTCGTTTCAACAGTTTATTCTTTGCTTTTTTAGCTTTTTGGACAAGATCTGAAATATGATCAAACAGAACACACCACACACTTAACACTTATTTAAACATACTAATAAGAGTTGCCTATCTTTTCCTGAACTTCCTAATGAGCTGTTGGGCAACATATTTGACTATTCCGCTTCCTACCTCCTGCATTGGTACATCAGGACTGTTCTTTAAGGAACTGTGCAAATATTAATCAGAAGAGTTCTAGAAAAGTCTAGAAGATGAAATACAAGCCTGGAAAAAACACTCCTACTTGGCCCATCCTGGTGGGAATTCAAATGTGCCAACTAACAGATCAGTCCAATTATGAGCAGCTCTCAGGAATATTTTGTGCCCTGAAGCATGCTTAATTTGAGAAGCAATTTGTGAAACAGAACACTAGACGAAGATGAAGATGAATACTTTAAAAGCAGAACAATTACACCTTTAAAAAGCTGGGAAACAACTTGTAACAAGTGAAGGAAACTAACACTGCAACTTGCTATTTGCATGGGATCTGACGCAGAATGTTGGCTATTTTGAAATGGAAAAATGCACCCAGTAATTAGATACTGAGTAATATTTCTTTTGGACTTTTCTAACCGAAATTACTCCTCAGACTCTATTGCTAATTTGTATGTTCAATGTTTGAAATTGTACAGCTACTAAGGGCTGGTTGCATGTCATGATTATCCCATGAGAATACTCCCAAGAGTGACTCTGAATGTTTAGAGGCATCATCAAGCATAGGTTGGTTCAAAATCACCATGACAATCGGTAATATTCCATAGCTAGGAATATTACTAGTTTGTGTTGTGTCTTTAAGGATAGACATGTACAGGAACTTCACATATGCGGCATTTTTTGAAACCAGTGTGACTTGTGAAAATATACATGGCAAAAAATTCCTTATGGAAAGCCCCCCCCCCCCCAAAGCTACTTTTGCTGGAATAGTTTTTGTCAATGAACCCTCACCAAATGTCACCTTTAAAAAGTGCTATTTAATAGTGATATCTACTAAATAACATCACAGCAAAATCTGAAGCCCGAACACTATAATCAAAAAGAGAAAATTTAATGGAGAACTCACATCACTGACTTTTTGACTATGATATATGAGCAACATTCAGCACCACTGCCAGCTCCTTGAATAATGCCCATAAGGAAAAGGACTTAAATGTATTTGGCCATATTCAGTTAGCAGTCAACAAGATGGCAGCAAGAACACATCATGCTATTTCAAACAAATCTCATATGTACATTAGAGAGGCAAACTGTGGCCCTTCAGATGTTTTGGCCTACAAATCCCATCAGTCCTAGCCAACACAGCCAGTAGTGAAGAATCATGTTATAAGCCAAAACACCTGAAGATTGGGCGACCCTCATTTCTGATGTACATGGTACATTAGAAAAATTAGGTATGACAGATTTCTACCCCAAGTGGGTTACAATCTACATTTCCATCCTGCATTCACTGTCAGCTGCCTATTAAAATAGGGGTTGTCTGCTGTGCACGTTTGTTGGATAACAGAGTCCAGACCCTCATCTACAAGGATCTCTGGAGCATGTCAGTCACTGTCAGTCCCTGGGCTCATGCTGACTGTACCAAAGAGGTTTACATAGTGAAGGAGCTACAGTCTGCAGGCTTGTCTTACGCCTGCATCAAGGTGCGGCACAGTGATACCATGGAACAAGTCCACTGTCAACATCATGGCTTGGCACCTTCTATGCACAGCTTATTAAACCTTCAACACAGCTACAAAATTATTCATTATGAATAACAAGAACTTTTAAACATTGATCTTTGTCTCATATTTTACCCTACAGAAGTTAGAATGACAACAGCCTTTCTTACTTTTGAATTGTCCTCTGACATCTTTGTCTTCACCTGAATGCTCTTCTTCATAATGAGACTGAAGTTGATAAAATGACTGAAGGTCCTTCAGACAGAGGGGGCACAGGAAGCCTTCTCTCACTTCTCCAGGGTCATCAAATGGAGGTGTGAAGCTTGTTGCCATAGTGATCCCAGGGCTTTACAGGTACTGACCCACTCTAAGTCTCAGCAGCCCTGAAGTGATGGTATGCCATTCAGTAGCATGGCTAAAAAACTGGACTAATAGGTTTTTCCCTTGTAGTTTGCACAAACCACTGTTCTGAAAGAGATCCAAGAAACAGTTTTACATTGGATGAACTATTAAGGTATCTTTATGCCTATGATTATGTGTTAATTCTTTAACTTCCTCCCTTTCTATTCAACTAAGTAGACTATGCTACCACTATTAAATTTGTTTTAGTTAAAGCCTATCCCATTGTATTTCCCTGAATCAATTCAGAGGATATACTTTATGAGCCTTTAGAAGTTTCACCAAATTCTTTAGCAGAAGCCCAAATTTCCAGGAACTGTAAGATTACAATCCTGTGTGTGCTAACTAAGAACTTAGACCCACTGAGTTCAATGGGACTTACTCTCAAGTAAATATGCACAAGGTTGCACCCAAAATCAATCACTCTGAAGAAAGAGGGCACACATACTACTGTTTCCAGTAGACAAAGAGAGAAGGATGAAATAACAAACATGCCAGCTAAAAGAAAGCCATGTGTATAAACCATATGAAGCTCTGGGATTAGGTCATCATGTATAACAGACATCAAAGCACATCTGAACTACTCCAACTAGGTCATGGAATAGACAAAACAAAACAAACAAAGCAGTTAAGCTGAAGCAAATAGGCTCAAGTAACAGGAAAGGGCTGCAAAGGAGAACAAAAGTGTGATAATTTACCCAACCAGACAAGCAAAGTTGACAGATGTTCACCAAAACGGTGTTCTTGCACAATATTTAACTGATTTATCTATAAATATATTCCTAATCCATAAGTGTAAGTTGTGCTTCTGACACCCCTCATGTTTCCATAAAATGGTTTATATCATGACTAACTGAAGTCCCATCTATTTGAAAGGGTCTATCCCCTGCAAGATTAAGGCTGGACCCAACTCAAGGGTGTTAAGAGCGCAGTACTACACAGAAAACAGTTATGACTCTATGCATAAGACTGTGACCTAAATTGTTCAAATATATTCTGACACCTGTGCTATTTAAGTTAAATCAACACAATTTTTCATTCCTTTTCACCTCTGATACACTTCCTTTATATGTTAAATACCCTGTTTGCCATTAAACCAGGCCAACCTGTGACTAGTTTCATAATAGTACAATTCAAGGTCCAGGGTTCATCATCAGCCATAGCTTAATGGAAACCTAGGACAGAAATATAAGTATAATTTCCTAAATTTCAGAGGAAAAATAAGATATTTTCATATCTGTAAATCTGGCATATTAACCAAGTTTCCACCATTCAAGTCATTCATTTGATTTTAAAGAAAAAATAAGTATGACAATTTCCACAGGGTTTCATGGCGGGGGAGAGTTCCACAAAATAAGCAATAAGTAGGACAATACGATTCTTCATTTGCCAACCACTGTTTTGTTACGTTCATTGTAGTGCTCTGAGTTTTCAACTGGGACTCAGAAGGGTTTAAATCCTCCCTTTACCACAGAGCTCCCTGGATGGCATTCAGCTAGTCACTGGCTCTCAGTACAACCTACCTTGCAGTGTTGTTGTGAGGATAAAATGCACAGGGGAAGGGCTATGTAAGTTGCCTTGGGTCCCTTATAGAAATAAGGGTAGAATATAAATGTAATATATACACACATACATACATAAATGCTGAATGCATGAAAAGAGGATTCTGGTTCACATTACTTATTATGAGAACAGGATTAGGGTGCAAGAAACCCCGGGCTGATTAATTCAATTCGAAGAGTTATGCTCTCGTATATGCACACTGAGAGAGTCAAACACATAGCTGAGGTGCCAATTCAGTAATTTAGAGAAATTATAACCGTACAAGTCTAAAAGAAACAAAAACATCAAGCTGTCAACGCACTGCATCTGACACAAGGATAATCCTATATTCTTTCAAACCCTGGAAAATTACTGAATTTTCTCACTTTAATAGCATTCCATGAGTAAAGGAGTAGAAAGGCCAACTCATACTTCAAGACAAGGCCTGTGGGACAAGGATGGATCAAGGAAGAGAAATGTATTCAAGTGATCACTATCTCCTCCACACAAAATTCCCTGCCAATAAAAACCTAACACATCAGGGAGAAAGTTCAAGGCCAGCCCTTTGCTTGCTGCACTGGTTTAGTATCTGGAAGGACCTATCAGGAACATTAATAAATGCCATTCTCTGCCTGCAGTTTGAAGCGGCACATTCTGCTCCATCACCTCTCTCTGCATGCCACCACCTCAGTCTGCTGCAGGAGCACCAGGCCAAGTCCTCTCCTAATTCAGCGTGTGAATCCAGAGAGGAAAGGCCATCAGGCCCCACCCACACAGATGGTGTTCAGTCAGGTACGAGCAAAATGGCAGGTAGGCCACCTCCCTTGAAATCTGGTACGATTCCTGTACATTCGGCACGACAGTCAGATATTTGACAGATGCTATTTTGCTCCGAATAGGAATGCAGTGATGGGGCTGGGCAGAGGAGAGAGAGCGAGAAGGACTTCTATCCTTTCAGTCGCTGTAGATGGCACAGCTGTCAAAAGGCAAACGCAGAACCACAACTACTTTTCAGGGGCTGGGGCGGCATCCTTTGGCAACAGCCCACCTCTTACCCAGATATAAAGGGGCTGGGTGGAGAGAGATGGCCGCTTTCTGAATGGGAAGGCAACCCTAATCTTTATGGCAAGCGGGGCTCTGCGTGTGATCTCCATCTGCGCCTTCCTCCCCGAAGCGCAAACAACACCCGCACACCCCACGTCCCGAAGTCCCAGAAACTCCGCCCAAGAGCGATCGGGAGCAAGAGGGGCGTCGGGAGCCTGCACAGGCACCGTGTCCGGGGCAGGGAGACCAAGCCCGAGGCCATCCACGCCTGTGCCAGGCCGGGAGGGAGCGAGGGCGCCGCAGGCGGCACGCGAGGGGAGCGAGGGGGGCGGCCGGGCACGGGGCTCGCGCGCCCACAGGCGGCTCCCCCGGGGAGGAGCGGCGCGCGAGGGCCCACCGCGCACGAGGGGGGGAGGGAGGGGGCGGGTCTCACCTCAGCCTCGAGGCGGCGGCGGCCGCGGCATCCGCGGGCCGAATCCCGCCCCGGCTGGCCAGGGCCCGCGCGGCGGGGGGAGGGGAGCGAGAGGGCCTCCCCACGGGCGGCAACCAGCCGAGCGCCAACGGCCCGGAGGGACGGAGAGGCTTCTGGCCAAGGGGCGGGCGCAGGGCTGGCGGAGACGAGCGCCGAGCAACCGAGGGCCGCGGAGGGGCGGGGCTCTGAGGCTTCCGCTTGGAGGCGGTGGCGGCGGCGGCTCGTCCTCGCGGGAGGAGCGTTTGGAGGCGGCCTCCTGCTTTTCTGCGGGACGATCTCGGCAGTTACGCCTGAAAAAGGGGGGAAAGGGGGGGTGGCGCTTAGAGTTGGAGAAGGCGCCCATGAGAGGAACCAGAGGGATAAGTGCCCAGCGGAGCAGCCCGTGGTAGTCCGCTGCAAGCAAAACCGAGCAGGATAATGCGGGGGCTGGAAACGAGGCCTTGGGAGGAAAGGTAGAAGGAATTGGGTATGATTATCCCAGTAAACAGAAAATCGAGAGGAAGGGATAATAGCACCGCTCAAGTACTGAAAGCGTCATCACAGCTGTTCTCTGTGAAGTTCTGGTACCTTAACCAACTTGGTTACGGCATAAACATCCATGGGCTATTCAGCTCCTGTTGGCGTGAGCGACAGTCCCTGATGTGTGTGCCTTTAATTCTTCATTGTTTGAAATGGATCAGAGGTTTGGCGCACCTTCTGCGTGAGGAAAGACAAAATGAAGTACTTTACACAGCGGAGTGCATAATTACGTGGAAGTCACTACACCAAGATGTAGCGATGGCCACCAAAAACGTTAAAAGGGGATTAAGAGAAATTTGTGGAGGGTAAGGTACCAGTGTCCTTACCTCGAATGCAAGTTTCTACAAAACAACAGTAAAAGGCTGTTTTTCCTCGTGCCCTGCTTATTTATTTATTTATTTATTTAAAACATTTGTATGCCACCCCCATCACAACAAAGCCTCGGGGCGGCTCCCAAAAAATACAAAAAAACCCCCAATAACAATATAACAATTTAAAAGAAAAAAAAACATTTAAAACCCCCAGTGTATTCTTAGCTAATTTAAAATCCTAATAAATACAATAATTTAGCAATTAAAATAAGTTTTAAATAAAAAGGTCTTAGCCTGGCGCCAAAAAACAAATAATGACGGCGCCAGGCGGACCTCTCTGGGGAGCGCATTCCATAGATGGGGCACCAATGCAGAGAAAGCCCTCCTCTGGGTACTCACCCTCCTAATATCCTTCACAGAGGGTTCCCGGGGAAGGGCATCCGTTGCTGATCTCAAGGGGCAGGAGGGCATATATGGGCGCAAGCGTTCCTGTAGATATCCAGGTCCCAAGCCGTTTAGGGCTTTATAGGTCATAACCAACACCTTGAATTGGGCCCGGACTTCAATTGGGAGCCAGTGGAGCTGACGGAGAACTGGGGTTATATGAGAACAACGCCCAGTCCCCGTCAGCAACCTGGCAGCTCTATTCTGCACCAATTGAAGTATCCGGACCGTCTTCAAGGGTAGCCCCACGTAGAGCGCGTTACAGAAATCTAATTGGGAAGTCACCAACGCATGTGTCACTGTCGCCAGGCAGTTGTTCTCCAGGAAGGGATGCAGCTGATGTATCAGCCGAAGCTGAAGGAAGGCGCTCCTTGCCACCGCCGTCACCTGAGCTTGCTTAAGGCCATACTGGGTTGTTGCAGTGGAAAACGGTGTTGGGTTAGATAGACCTCAAAGGACCACGTTCCTAGCCTGGAATATGTTCCTTAACAGGGTTTTGAAAGCCCTGTTTTGCTGGGTCTTAGAATCAGAATAGAAGAGTTGGAAAGGGCCATGAAGGCCATCGAGTCCAACCCCCTGCTGTTGCAGGACACCATGTTATACCATCCCACTCAGTCTTGCTTCCAGGGAAGTGGAAACAGTGTTTGAATTTCAGGATGGGACTTTGCAGGAGACAAAGGGGCTTGGGAAACAATGCCACCAGTGCTGTTTGAGCTTTTCCTTCGTTCTGTGGGAAGTCCAGGCTGTCACTTGCTGGGTGGAAAGGGAAAAATGCTCTGTGCATTCATAGGTACTACTGCTGCGTACGTCCTGGTTAGTATAATTTTTTTCTTGATAAGCACAAGCAAAACAAAAATGAGGGCAGCATTTGCAGATAACAGCGAACCCATCCTGAATAGTACACGGCTGCTATAGTTAAACCTTTGAACTCTTAAGATGCAGATATACTTTTTTGTACAAATAAATATAAACTAAGCTCAGACATAATTTGTAGAGCCCTGGACAAGTTCCTCCATCTATCATATTTTGAGTCTTGTATTTACCTTTCCCTTATGCATCCTGTGATGGGAAGCACTGGTAAACTCAAAAAGGTAAAAGGTGCGTGGGGGGGGGCACTCATGCTCATATTCTGATATCCCAAGACAACTCTAAATTGGGACCTCTTCTATAATTTTGGCTCTACTTCATTTCAGCTCTCCTACTGGTTCTTTCATGTTGTTGCTCTATAAATCAGAGTTAAGAACTAAATGTTAACAGCACATGTCAATTTGCAACCACCAGTCTCTGTTCTTCCAAGCAGTATATTCTTGATTTACTGCCCAAGAATCAAGTTATTGTGGAAAGCATCAGGGTGGATAAAAATCAAAACATTGGATTTTTTTTAATTTAGAGTTTTGATGTAAATCAGTTTATTTAAATTGTATATTTTAATAAAATGCTTTTTGAGGGGAAAAACTATCTGATTATAAAATAAAGATTAATTATGTAGCATTCAATGTTTATTTTTTGATAAATGAATTCCATTATTTAATATATATTTTATAATATGCACGCGCACACATACATCGAGAGAGAATGAACACCCAAGATGGGATTGTTAATGCAATCAAACACCTGGGTTGCTCCTAATCATCAGACTTAACCGAAAGGCAGAAGCCATAAAGCTAGTGTGTGCAGAGATTATAGTGTTACACTGGGACTCAGGAGACTTGAGTTTTACTTCCCTCTTAGCCTTGAATTTCCAGCCAGTGACTCTCAGCCTAACCTACCAAACAGGGTTTTTGTGAGGATAATATAGAGAGGAGGACCCCCATTTAAGCCACTTTGGGCTCTTTGTAAGAGAAAAAAAATAAGGTAGAATATAAATGTAATAATAATAAGGAAGAAACCATTGTTCAATCAGTGAACCAGTTCAGTATTACGAGTGCAATGCACTAATGAGATTGTGTAGCTGTTTGTGCAACTGGAAATTTAATGTTTAAATAGAGGTGGATTGTGCATTAAGCAAATGTAGTTTAATTATTCTGATGAAGTAGATATTTGATTGTCAGTCTCCCACTTGGGCTGACTAGTGTTATAATGTATCCTAACCACCACAAAGCATTCATTCACAGAATGAGTCATTGAATAAGCAAAGTGATGTTCTATGTAAATTCATCCACATTTTTATCAAGCACACTCTGTTTCAACAAAATGTTCAATTTCTCAACATGATGGTTTTAGAGCTCTTGTACATAGAAACAGAGGGAGTCAGAGGGGGTCTCCCAGGCCATCTAGTCTGACCCCCAGCTCTAGCCAGCTCCACTCACAACATGCCCTCATGTGCATGTCTAGTCTATCCTTGAATACCCTCACCAATGGGGCCTCAACCACCTCCCGTGGAAGCCCATTCAATATCCTCAGGGTCCTAACACTCAGGAAGTACTTCCTGGCACCTAAATTGAACCTTGGTTCCCTGAGCTTCGCTCCGTTGGAGCATGTCCTGCCCTCCTCTGCAGGGGAGAACAGGTCTCTACCCACCTCTGCGTGACACCCCTCACATATATGTGTGTCACCAACAGATCCCCTTGGAGTCTCTTCTTCTCAAGGCGGAAAAGACCCATTTCCCTCAGTCTCGCCTCATACGGCTTTCCCTGCAATTCGGCCACCATCCTTGTGGCCCTGAGCTGCACTGACTCTAACCTGGCTATATCCTTCCTGTAATGAGGAGCCCAAAACTGAACTCAGTACTCCAGTTGTGGGCATACCAGGGTCATATAGAGTGGTAGTAATACCTCTCTTGATCAAGAAGCCACATTTCTGGCTATGCAACCAAGGGTGGCATTCGCCCTCTTGACCACCGCATCACACTGCTGACTCATGTTTAGCCTGCAGTCAACCAGCACCCCGAGATGCCTTTCACAAGTGCTGCTCTCCAGCCACTTGTCCCCTAACCTGTACTTATGACACCCATTCCTATGCCCCAAGAGCAAGACCTTGCACTTATCCACATTGAACGCCATCCTGTTGTCTCCTGCTCACTTCCATAGTCTGCCCAGATCCTTTTGGATCTGGAGTACCTGCTCCTCAGTTGGGCCACTGCCCCGGTTTTAGTATTGTCTGCGAATTTGATCAGAAGACTGTTCAACCCTTCTTCCATGTCATTGATAAAAAGATTAAACAGGATCGGCCCCAGGACAGAGCCCTGGTCACCATCCCAATGATTCCCCACTAATGGTTACCCTCTGCTTTCAGCCAGTCAACCATGCCCTAATCCATCAGACATTGCATTGGTCTATCTCAAAACTCCTCAGTTTTTCAACCAGGATGTCATGGGGCACTTTGTCAAAGGCCTTGCTGAAATCTAAGTAAACCGCATCCACTGCCTCCCCTCCATCTAGCCACCTTGAAACCTTGTCATAGAATTCCACAAGGTTTGTCTGGCAGGACCTGTTATTGCGGAAGCCGTGTTGTGTGGCCGCCACCCTCCCTTCCCTATGTAGCATCACTGTTGTTGTTGTTGTCGTCCGACCCATTGCGACCCCATGGACAACATTCCTCCAGGCCTTCCTCTTCTCCACTATCCCCTGGAATCCACTTGAGCTCACGCTAGCATCACTAGATCTCTCTCTATTATGAGCCTTTCCATTGTTTTTCCTACAATGGATGTAAGGCTAACTGGTCTGTAATTCCCCATATCCCTTCTACTACCCTTTTTGAAAATTGGGACCAATGATGCTACCCTCCAGTCCTCTGAAACTTCACCCATTCTCTATGAGGCTTCAAAAATGGAGGCCAGCGGGTGTG